CCTCCTTCTTCTCCACCGCACCCCTGTCCTTCCTTCAGGGAACTTTCTTTCCCTACTTCCTTCTAGTGCCTGAGCTTGATTATACAAAAATTACCTACTTCCTATCTTTAAAAAAAAAATTGAGGTGAAATTCATAGAACATAGAATTAACCATGTTGAAGAACACAGTCAGTGGCATTTAGTACATTCACAGTGTTGTAGGACCACACCTCTGTGCAGTTCCAAACATTTCCGTTACCCAGATGGAAACGCAGTAGCCATTAGCAATCACTCTCCCTTCTCTCTCCCCTAGCCCCTGGTGACTTCCTGTCTGCTTTCTGTTTCCCTGGATTTCCCTTTTCTGGATATTTCATATACTTGAAATCCTACAACATATGGGCTTCTGTGTCTGGCTTCTTTCATATAGCATAATGTTTTTGTGGTCCATCCACATTGTTTGTAGCAGGTCCCAGAATTTCGTTCCTTTTTATGGCTGAATAGTATTCCATTGTATGGGTATAGAACATGCTGTTTATCCATTTATCCATTGATGAAAATTAGGTGGTCCTTCCCCTTGGCTATTGTGAATAGTGTTGCTATGACACTGCCTTTTATGGAAACTCTGCTCCCTGATTGGGTTCAAGGTCAGTGACTTCTGGTGTCCCCTGAGTCTTAGCCATAAGGCAAGCTCACTTATAATCAACTCTCTCATTGAGGGTCTGCAGAAGCTGGGAGGGAGAAGCCTGGAGCCTCAGATGAGAATGGGACACCCTTTGGAGTCTGAGGGACGGCTGCCACTGGGCTTCGCTCTGCATACTAACTCTAGTTTAACTTCTGCCAAGGAGGTGGGGGTAGAGAGTGGAAATTGCTGGTTTTATCTCTAGCCTCTAGCATCTGTTTTTATCTCTCAGCTGTGTGACCTCAGGCTGTACACTCTGAGCTCCAGGGTCCCTATCTGTAAAGTGGGGATTATAATTCCTATTTTATAGGGTTGTTGTGACAATAACGATTAAGTAAAATGGAAGGCTTACTTCTTTTCCTACCAGGATTCGGGTTGGCCGGGTTAGGGAGCAATTGTGGAAGGGCCCTTGGATGAAGGCTGATTTGTGTGGATGCCTTATGCATGGGCAGCCACCATTTTGGATCCTCTCAGAAGGGGAAGGAGCTGAGGTTACTCCCGTCATCATGTTTCGCTGTCCCTGCTGGGAAGTTGTCCCCACCTTCCTGTTTTCTGCAGTTAACTTTGGTGCTTGGTGTATGAATCTGTGAAAGTGGATTGCCTCCCATTTCACCTCCTACAAGTAGGCTTTGAGCTAATTTTAAATATTTTATTTATTTATTTGACAGAGAGAGATCACAAGTAGACAGAGAGGCAGGCAGAGAGAAAGAGGGAAGCAAGCTCCCTGCTGAGCAGAGAGCCCGATGCGGAACTCGATCCCAGGACCCTGAGATCATGACCTGAGCCGAAGGCAGCGGCTTAACCCACTGAGCCACCCAGGCGCCCTGAGCTAATTTTAGAAAGATGAGTTTTCTTTTGATTGTATTCTTCAAAAAAGTATTTACAAATTTCTCCCATGCCAGTTGTCTTGTGGGGTATTGTTTGCAAGGGTCTTTTTTTCCCCGCCCTGTGGTCAGTGAAAGAGTTTTGGGGGTCTGGCAGACCCGGGCTTACATCCTGGTTTTATCTCTCCCTGATTAGCTCTGCGACCCTGAATTGCAGATCAATGGCCTTTCACGTTCTTCATCTGTAAAAATGAGGGTTAATGTGAAAATTAGCTACCTTGCTTTGTAGTTGTTGTGTCAACTAGTGTCCTTTTGGTTTTAAATATTGGACAGCCCAAATAAAAGTAGTTAAATAATGAGGGGTATTGCCTGTCTCTAGGCAGGAAGTCTGGGGGTAGGACACATGCAAGAATGGGTTGATTTAGTAGCACAAGATGTTTCCCCCTTTTCTCCTCATCAGCCATTCTCAGCAAGTCGGTGATTTCTTACCTCCTTGTCACACAGAGGCTGCAGCAGCCCAGGCATCATGGGCAGATCTAGTGAAGTCCACCAAACCAGGACGGTATTTTCTTCCATGTAATTCCTTTTTTATTAATGAGGAAGCTTTCCCTCCCGGAGCCCCTTGTGGACTTCTGTTTGGTCCCCTTGTCCTGTGTCTTAGTCTGGGCTTTCTATGGTCCTGAGGAAGGGATTATAGTGTTGAGGCTTTATTTGGGAAGTCAGGCCCAGTGAGGTCAAGGTGAAGGAAAAGAAGGGGAAGGGAGGCCAGGAGAGCCTGAAGCCGTGTGATGGCGAGTGCACTTGCTCTCTCTGGCTGTCATTTTCAGACTGAGCCATAGACAGACATGGCTCCTGTGTTTGTGTGGCACCAGTGGGAGGGCTGCCAGGAGAAACCATAACACTGTTTTGTCAAGAACACTCTTCCTTTGCTTGCTGGAGTTTTTGGAAGGCAGAGGGAAGAAAGGTGACATGGATAGCTTTTGAAATTGACTTTTAAACCTTCTGTTGGTTCCAGTATATTTCTCACCCGTTGCTTTACATGGGGAGGAAGGGTAGCTGTTGATTAAGGGTGTGGACCCTGGAGTCAGACTGCCTGGGTTCAAGTCTAGACGCTGCAGCTCAACAGCGCTCAAGGGACTTGTTCCTACACTCAGGGCTGTGTGGAGCATTAAGTGAGTTAATATCTTAAAGCACTTGGAACAAAGCCTGGCAGATTCAGACTCTGTGCACAGTGAGGGTGACCCTTGCCCTTTCCCCTCTAGAACTCAGAGCTGTTTGGCACGTTGTCCCATGTAATGATCATCAGCCCATGTTTACTGGGCCTAGGGCTGTACAGGACCCAGCTCAAAATGCACAGGCACTCTGTCTTCGTGGACGCCCTCCTCTGACGTCCCTCAGCGACTGGTGCCTACCCCAGGGGTACCTTCCGTCTGTCCTGCGGTTCGGTTCGCCTGCCTCCTCACCGCAACTGAGAGCCCCGCACGGCACAGAGGCTGCCTGCCTCAGCTCTGGGTTGTGCGGCTGGGCACAGGCAGGCGCTCAAGATTTGCTGGTTCACTGAGTTGGCGGTGCTTTCTACTCTGCCTTCAGTTACTTATTTATACACACGCCTTATTGCCCTTACTTTCCGAAAAACAGTCTGAGGGCAGGTCCAGCTCATCCATGTTTGTGGGCATTATTTGGGTGCATCGTTGACCGAATGGATTCCAGCATAGGATGCAACGCAGAGCTGTGTATGAAGAGACGATAACATCACAAGGGGCTAGGACGGGCCAGTATAGAGTAATGAGCTTGGGTAGTTTATGTTTTCCTACTGCTGGGGGAAAAAGGGGGAGGGTTTGCTGCCACATGCTAACTTGCTTGGCAACCTGGTCTTCATCTTTCTCTCTCCTGTGGTCTATCAGACACAGGAGAGAAGCTGGGCATAGGTGGGCGGCAGGGGCTGGAAGCAGGAAGACGGGCTGAAGGAGTGCAGGCTTGAGGGTAGAGTTGGGGGGTGGGAATGGAAAGTGTGTGTGTGTGTGTGTAGGAAAGGAGGAATCAATAGGATGTGGGCCATGAGACTTGTGGGGAGGGAAGAATTAGGAGGAACCCTCAGATTCCTTTGGGAACTGGTGCCTGGGCCCTTGGGAGACAGGCTGGTGAGTAGACCTTTCTGTCTGTTGGCATAACCCCCAGATGAGAATGAATGTTGTCTTCAGCGTCTCCATTTGGTAAGTGCAGAGGATGTTTCCTTTGGATTGAGTGGGGTATTCAGGCTTCTGGACCTGACCAGCCTTGGCCTTGGCCTTGCTGTATAGGACCTTGGGCAAATCTTCTTCCTCCTCTGGGCCTTAGGAATTACTTCCTTTATAAAACAAGAGGGTCATTCCTTTCTTCAGTGTCATTTTTAGAGTGCCTACTGTATGCACCATTCTAGGGATGGGTGCAGGTGAGGTTTCTGTTCTCATGGAGCATATGTTGTAGTTGAAGGAGGCTGATGACAATTGAGGTGAATGCAGAGGAGAAAAGATCCAGGGGCGCTAGGTTTCACTGGTTGATTGGAGAAGGATTCCCCGAATAGGTGGCCTTTTAGGCCATGACCCTGGAAGGTCTGGGGCAGAGTGTTTTTGGAGAAAGGAATCAATATGTAAAGGCTGTAAGAGAGAACCAGCTTCAGGAACATTTCAAAGGGCATGATGAGATCATGATTTTATTCTAAGGGTGATGGGAAGCTGGAGGACATTTTTTCCCCACTAGAATCCCTTTTGATTATTTTCCTCTTCATGAGGGCCATACTTTGAAAAATCCCGTTACCCAGAGATGTGTTTTCTAGGTAGTAGAATGTACAACCTCAAATTATTTTAGGTTTTTAAAGTATGGGGGAATAATTTATGGCTCACAATGAATATCTTTGAGGACCTTCAGGGATCCAAAGATGGCAGATTGAGACACTTAACTAAATAAATAATCTTTAAGGTTGCTATGTTTTGGACATTCATGCTTCCCAAAGTTGCATGCCATATAATTGAAAAAAAAAAAAAAAGATTATTGACACCTACTGGTAGAAGGAAGAAGCTGGATTGTTGCACAACAAAAATCCCGAACTCAAGTTGATTACCTTCTCGTGTGCACCTGGCTTTACATTCTGTACTTGCAACCTGAACATGGCTGGGGGAAGGGGTGCCATGGTCCTGCTTTTTTTTTTTTCCCGTCCTAGAGAATCATGACCTTGCTTCTGTGTCCTTCTGCCTCAATTTATGATGCGGTGGCAGGAGGGGAGCTGCTCCAGTGTTGGATGTATCTGTGGGGAAGAACACTGGATGGCTCAGCCTCCATACAGCTGAGCTAATCCATTGTTTGTAAGCGACCTCTGGTTTCACCGAGTTCCCTTATTCAGTGTCCTGGCACCCTAATCGCTGCCATCGGGCCTTTTTTTTTAATGTACTTGTTAACACCCCATCTCCATTATTAAATTCTCAACTGCTTTATTCCTGATTTGCATTTTCCGTGGCTGAATGAATGCACTGACTTCCGTTTTCTTTTTGTTACAGATGGTGTGCGCAGGTGACTGTAAGTACCACTTCCCTCTCTTCTTTTGTATTGTTCGCTACCGCCCCCTGATGGACACAGCAGCATTTACAGCAATGCGAAAATCACAGAAAATGCTTATTTGTTCAAAGTCTTAGTTTCCAGTTTTTCTTTAGAATTGGGGTGAGTGTGGCAACAGCAAGTGAAAGAAAGAATTCAATCAATTGAGCAACTTTGACAAAAAATTTTATATTTTCTGTGATTTTTCTTTTCTGCAAGCCTACATGCGTGGGTGATTTTTAAAAACACTTTTCATAATGCAGTATGATTTATATTTACTTTGTATGCTGCTATCCCATAAGTATTTTTTTTTCGCTACACTGCTCCATTATTCTTTTATAAATATTTTATTTATTTATTTGACAGACAGAGATCACAAATAGGCAGAGAGAGAGAGGGGGGGAAGCAGGCGCCCCGCTGAGCAGAGAGCCCAATGCGGGGCTCGATCCCAAGACCCTGGGATCATGACCTGAACCGAAGGCAGAGGCTTTAACCCACTGAGCCACCCAGGTGCCCCTGCTCCATTATTTTTAAACTGATATATAGAGTTTGTGTAAGCTTTGGAAAATCAGACGTAGACTCCTGTATATTTTGCTTCTATGTAGAGGACTGAGTCCCAGCTGCTAACAGTGCTGGTCCATTGAAATGCTCCCTGGTCTAGAGTAAAATGAGTAAAATAAGGCTATGATAGTAAGTTTTAAGTGAAGCTAAGTATATTTAATTGATAACAACATTTATTCTGGGATTATGTCCTTACTAATTTTTTAGGTCATAATTTGTTTCTATAAAAATAATAGTATTTGGTAGTTTTTTTAAATGTACCTTTTAGAATAAATAAAAATTGGTAGCTTTTATCTGTCCTCAAAATTTGGGAACTTCCCCTCCACCCCCCCATTGGTAAAATCCCAAAGTCTGTGAACCATGGAGATAAAATAATTAGAATGTTCTTCCAGTGCCACACAAAGGGGGTAGATCTTGCTGAAACCTTTTAATAAAGCCAATCTGAGTTAATAATAGTGATTATGCAAAGTCTGTACAAATAATGGGAAGAGCTCTGCAGTTGCTTTTTCTTGCTTGTTAATCAGTTTGGTAAATAGGCTGGTAGGTACCTTGTAGAGGCTTGAATCTTTGGTGCCAAAGAAGAGAACTTCTGTGCATAGAGGTAGCATTTTAAAGCAGGAGAAGGGGAGATGAGGGACCTATGATTCCTTTTAAAAAATCATAACAAAATCCTGTTCTATCACTAGTATACAGTGGGAGATAATGTTTTGTTAGCTTGCATGACCACTGTTTCTGGCTACTCAAATCAGTCACATTTATCACTGAAAAGTTTCCTGGTGCCTTATTAAGTAACATGCATTTCGGTGGCTATAGATGTGACTGTTACCAGATCACAGCTGAAGCCTTGGACACAGGAAAGAAAAATGAAACACAAGCTAAAAAGTCTGTGAACCACAGTGATGAAATAATGAGAATGTTCTCCCAGGACTTTGAGTAGAATCACGTGCTAACGACCAGCAGGATGGAACTCTGAACTCCCATTTTATAAATGTCCAAATCCAGCGACCTTGGTTACCATATCACGTGCCTTAAAGATAGTCCTTCATGTTTAAAATAGTGTGTTAGAGCTGACAACAGAGGCACCTGAGGATGAGAGGTTCTTAGGGACTCATTCCAGGTCACACGGCTAAGGGGCAGAGGAGGTCCTCACATCCAGGGGTGAATTCAAAGACCAGCTCCTTTCCCTTCATGCCATTCTGTCTCATGCCATCTTAGTGCCTGAAAATGGCAGAGCTTCCTCCTAATATCAGGATTTGGCCAAAGAGTTAGCTTCTGCATCTTGTAAGACCTCTCCACGGGCAGTATTTTCTAAGAATGGCAAGAGAGACTCCTTTTGCCTCTTCGGTCTTTCTTTATATCAGCCTCTAGATAGATTTAATCCATACTCAAGTCACAGCCAACATTGCTGATTTCTGTCATTTTTGTCTCCGTTTTAAAGCCTTCTGTCTTACTAACACACAAGCATGCATATATGTATATGTATCTAAAATTAGTTTGCTGGAGAAAAGTCCAGGAGGCAAAAGAAAGGGAAATGAACTTCTGTCATTGTACAATTCACTTCTGAAAAATAGACATATAGAGCAGTCCTGACTCTTAGGTTTCTTTTTTATCTTTTTAAGGTTTTATTTATTTGAGAGAGAGAGCGAGAGAGGGCAAGCATGAGTGGGGCAGGGAGGAGCAAAGGGAGAGGGAAAAGCAGACTCCCCACTGAATGGGGAGCCTGATCTGGGGCTTAATCCCAGGATCCTAAGATCATGACCTGAGCCAAAGGCAGATTAAGCCACCCAGGCATACATTTCTTTTTTAAATATAATTTTTGCTGTCCTTTGGGAAATGTTATTTAAGTAGAACCCATGTTTGTGTTTGACATTGAAGCTGTTTCCATCAATACAACCAGTATGACCACAACATGGGGAAACGCGAATGGCACTGTTTCTGGGTACACGCATACAGAAAAGAGCAAGGTGGAGAGCGAGCGGAACACCCCTGCTGAAGATCCAATAAGGAATGGCACCACAGGCTTTAATCCAACAACTTCGAACACGTCCTTTGTCACTTCAGAAACAGTCGCCGGGACTTCAAGAGATTCCGTGGCCATAAATGACACACTAGGTAAGATGAGCCTCCAGGAATGATGGTGAGCTGTTCCTTTTCATCCTGTGTCCTTGAGCCTTGTCCATTCAGTTTGCCTTTTGGGAGAGAGATTGGTTTTTGCTAACGGTGGAAGAGAGAAAAGATTCTCTATTGTTTTAAGCCCAGGAGTTCAGGTGGCTGGATCATTCGGTATTAGGGTCTTCGGTGTTTTGGGAGGTTTTAAGTAATTCCAGCTGTTCAGTTTTAAAAACCCTTTGCTGTTATTGGCAATATTTTCTGCTAAGGCTTGAGGGCAGAGACCTCATTGGCCATGTGTTATAATGGGTCCAGTAATTAGTAGGCTTCTTTAAAAGCAGCTTAAAGCTTCTCAGGAATTTTTGCTGGGCCTGAAAGTTGGGTATACTTTATAGAGGAGTGTGTGTTTCAGATGAAATAATGGCCCTGTGACACTTGGGAAGGTTTAGAGTTTTATTTAGCTTAGATGTCGATATCTTGAGACACGTGTTATAGCTGCAGATTTAGCTCTCTCTCTTTTTTTAAGCTGAAAAGAACCAAAACTATAAAAAAGAGATGAGAAGCTCTTTTAAAGCTGAGAAGAACCGAAACTTAAAAATGAGATCCTCTGTTGGTTTTCTGACCTGGGGATGTGATCTCTTTGGCTGGTGAGGGCCATGGAGCTTGACGTCGTGGAGCCCGCGGCTTGAAGAGACCACCTGCCTAGCACAGTGTCTCCTTCAAAGGGAACAGGCGAACAAAACCAGTGGTTTTCAGCAAGTTTTTTTTTTTTTTTTAAAGGCCAGGAAACAATTTCTTTAAATAATGAAATCTTGCCCAGAAGCCCAATAAATAAAAAGAACTGGAACGAGGGGGAGCTACAGGGGTGGGGTATCACAGATACCTTTAGAAAAACTCTCGGAGCTCCTCAGAGCAGAGTTTTAGAGGCAAAAAACTGTATAATAGAGGTTTGCTATATTATGAAAGAGAGAAGAGCAGGAGGAGAGGACAGGCAGAAGAGGAAGAGAATGGAAGAGGAGGAAGAAGACGGAATTCAGCGATGGTGATGGGGACAAGGGAACACAGCACTGGTGGCCATAGGAAAGAGGAGGTCGAGAAGTGGCAAGAAGCAGCCAAACAGGAGCTGAGTGTCCTCACTCTGTCTGAAAGTCCCAGGGACAATGCTTCATTCATCAGCTACTATTTGCTGAGCATGTACTATGTGCTTATTCTTAATACATTATCCTGTCCTCGTAGTAACGCTGAGGGCCACAGTGACAAACTGTAATGCCGAGGCATTGTAATACCGAGGTATCGTCTGAGGGCTTGGTTATTGAGCAGGAAGTGGTGGGCACTGAGGGAGTCCAGGCCCAGAGCACAATAGTGCTCAGAAGCTGGGACCCCTTACCCAGAGTTCTTCCTCTGGCTACTTGATGGCTGTTCCATTTCTTTTCAAAAGAAAAAGGACACAGGAGTGACCCCATTTAGGAATCTTCGAGCCCAAAATGTTTGGCGTGAAGGGTAGAATCACAGCCAATTAGCTCACTTCAGAGCCCACCGTGGCCTCCGATGCCGCCCCTGCAGACCTCAGGCAGGGTTTGCTGTATCCGCAGCACTCCCCGGACCTCATGGGCTCAGTGCTGGAGCCTTGGGTTCTGATTTCCCCAATTCTACCCATGATGTGTGCCCCTGAGCCAGTCAATCCACCTCTCAGTATGTCTACCTTGCCATCTCCAGAATGAAGGGAGTGGATGTCACGTTGACAGAAATGGCTGGTTTATGTCACAGCAAGCCAAATCAGGTGATGGACAGAATGGTGGGGCGATGGATCGGAAGTCTTCCAAAGCACCCTTTGGGTTGGAACGCAGGAATGAGCTCCTTAGTCGAAACGCCTGGGTGCTCTGAGATGGCATTATTTTTGTTGTTATCTTGAATTGAGACCTTTAGAAGTAGTAAACAATCACTTTGTTTCCTGCCTTGTCCCCATGCTCTAAACAAATATGATTAAATGCTGCTGTTTGACAATTTCGAGGACAATTTCAGAGTGTCACACCGCCGTTGAAGTGAACTGTGGAAGTGAATACTACAGATCCTAAAAATCCTGGGCTGTGGGTGTATCCTTCTTTCCCCGTCATGCTATATCTACTTTTTCCTGCTGTGAAATGATGGATTTGCCCCAGACCCTGATCTCAAGAAAGTATTGTTAGTGAGAACCTCAGTGACCCCAGTCATTCCTAATGAAAGGTGACTGCCCATTGTTCCATCAATGTCCACTGTGTGTTTTTCAAATAGAGCCCAGTCCAGTCTCTGGTCTTCAAAATTCCTTCGTGAGGGTGACAAAGGCTGCTCTTACCTGGAAGACTGGCAATGGTACTTCTACCTACCGGCTGCTCCTTGAAGGTGTCGGAAGTCCCATAGAGTTGACTCAAGACTTAGTGGCCAATATATCGGGCCTGAAACCAGGGACTTCACACAACGTCACCCTGACACTTGCAGAACCAAATGAACAGAGAAAGCCCTCGGTCACAGGCAGTGGCTTAGGTGAGTTACCAAAGTGTGTGCTTCTCATCTGCCTTTCTGGATTTGATTTTCCATGACTGCTAAGAAATGTCGTTCTTACATTTCTATAGAGTTTTAGAATTTATTGAGAGCTTTCCTCCACATTTTAGTTTGACCCTACATTTATATGAAGAAGGTAGGGAGATGTTCTTATTTTATAGATCAGATCGCTGGGGCTCAGAGTGGTAATGGGGGTTGAAAGTTTTTGAGTCTGGCATCCCGGAGAGGAGCCGGCTCCATTAGCTCTTTCAGCTTTCCATCGAACGAATAACAGATGTTTTTATGTGAGCAGGGCCATCAGAGGAACTTGCCATGTCCATTGAGGACAGGGACGCTTAGCGGGCAAGTCTAGCAGACATCGTCTGCATTGCCAATGGTGTAGCCATTTGCAGATTTTAAGCGTTTTCAGAAGTGACCCTGTGGATTGAGAACACATACTTAATCCCCGTTTTACACTTAAGGAAACAGGACTACACAGTGGGTGTTAGGATTCTTGACTGCAAGTGACAGGAGCCAGACTTCAAGTAGCTTGGGCTGGAAGAGCAACTTACTGGCTTGTGTCTGTTTTCCCACGGTGGGCAGCAAGGCCTTGAAGAAAGAGACAAGGGGACTCCCAATTCCTCTTCCTGTTTCCTTCTTTAGCAACCTCATTCTCAGAGTGGCTCCCGTCACACAGCTCTGGGAGACATGATTCCCCACAGGTACCCCGTGTCACCCCCTATCAGAAGGGGAGATATTTCTAGAGTGGGCTCTGACTCTCCGGGTTTGAGTCCTGTGGCTGTCCCTGGAGGACCACGTTTGGAGCTGGGTGGGAGAAGATTTCCTGAGAAAAGGGGAAGAGTTGCAAACAGTCATGTTGGAAGGAGAAGCACAGTTGTCTGGTGGTACCTGGGATAAAAGTAGAAAATAAAATGCCTGCCTGAGATTGGGGCCTTTGTAGGAGGATGTCTCTCTCTCAAGGGAAGGAAGGGCAGAGTTGGAGGTGTCCTCTTGTAGGGGAGGTGCTGCAGGGGGACAGGGCTGGGCTTCTGTTGAGTGAGTGTATTTGACTTTTGTGTTTGAAACAGATGCCAACAACACCGAGGGCGCCCTCCCGCAGCCCAGGACGCCCAGTGCCCTGGTGTATGGGTACACCCTCAATTCCACAGACCCGTCTTCTCACCATCCTCTGACCGGAGACACGGAAGTGTGGCTCTTCGGGCTGAAGCCCAACACGCAGTACAAGGCCACCGTGTATCCTCAAGCAGCCGGTGGTAGAGAAGGGCAGCCCCAAAACATAACTTTCAGGACGGGTACGTTGAATTTTGTGGAATGTCTTCAGCCAGAGTTTTCTGGCCCCACGTTTTGTCCTCTGTGATTCTGGTTCACAGTTCTCTCTTGCCTCACAAGCAGTTTGGTTGTCAGAGGGCATTTTCAGGAAGAGGTTTTGGACAGAGCAGATGCAGTGAGTTTCCTCTTCCCTCTGCAGCCAAGACGCCTCCTTCTTCCAGCTCAGGAAAGCGTGTCGGGAGCTGCTACTACGTGCAGACGCTAGGTGCTACCTCATGTCTTTCTTTTGTGCCTTTGCACACAAACCTGGGGGACAAAGTCGTGTCCTGCTTTTCTCTTATTAACAGGTGTTCGTGTTGTCATTGTTGGCTAAAGATTTTCTCCATCGGCTGAGAAAACAAGTTTTTTATTTTTCTGGCCCAGCCTTGGAATGCATATTGACCTCCCTGCTGAAGCTCGTTGACATTCACGTCGTGACGTCCTACCTAGAGTTCAGTGGTGCTTCTGCTCTGCACACTCACCAGTGTTTGGGGTGTTTTGGTTTGGTGCTGATGGGGGAACAAAGAAATGTGCGGTTCCTCCCTGACGGCATTTGGGTATAGACGGGGAGTTGAGGGAGATGCATGTGCACTGAGAGGCATGTGTCAGGCCCTGTGGGCTCGGGAATAAATGCTGCAAGAAGTGTCACCCTTGGGGACCAGGCCGAGGCGACGTGAACTAACTCTGGTTACCTGATCCAAAAATATAGCTGTTCTCAAAGGCTGCCAGAGACCCATAGGATGGAGGGATGGGGTGGGGGCTAGGGGACACAAGGCAGAAGATAAGAATAGGATCCAGGAAACTCGGGAAGGCTGGATCACACTGTACCAGGAGCAAAGTCCCACGATGCAGAGGGTATCCCATTCCTGCTTTCTGGGTGGCTGTGTTGGGGAAGGGAGTGCTGTCCCCCAGCTTTTACATGGCTGATAGGCACTTCCTCCCATCAAGGGGAGTGGTGTGCTCTTGGGAAGAGGGCACTGGGTGCTGCAGAGGCAACACATGGCCACTGTCCACGGCAGCTGCCCACTGAGGGCTCTGGACGTCGGAAGGTGGAGCACGATTCTCACATCAAATCCCAAGGGAAGGCCTCTGCAGCAGGCAGGATTTGAACTTGCTTTGAAGAGAGAATAGGATTTGGATAAACAGAGAGAGGGAGGAAGACATGTCCGTTGAGGCAACATTGTGGGTGAAGGTGCCGGTCGCCGACGTTGAGGTATGGAGGTAGAGAAGCACAGGGAGTCAGTGACTGCTCGAGGCCCCTGGTAATTCCACAGGGGTTGATTTCCTTCCTAGAGAGATGTGATCAGGTGCTTAAGAGTTGGGTGTCTCTCTCAGAGACATGCTGCAGAGTATTCCGGGGCAGTGACTGGCCTGGCCATGTTCCTTGCACAGGCCTTGTTCCTGGCAGGACGCCTATGACAGGTGGTGTCTGTAAAGAATTCTTGCTTTTCCTGGTATCTGCCTTGAAGGAGGGTCCACTCGTGCCCTCCTTTCTTCTACTGGTGATGCTACTGTGTGGGTGGAGAGGGGAGGATATACCTGTAGGAAAGGTGGCTTGGCTTCCAGGGACCCTCAGGGACCCAGCAGGTCGGCAGGGGTCAGGTTGGAGGAGGGGGAGGAATGGACTCTCTGGGGGGTGCCTTTGATGGCGATGGAGCTGTCCGACACGCAAGATGCTGTGCAAGAGGGTGAATGGGCCCCTTGCCAAGCACTTGTACCCCAGAGCTGGATCCACCCAATGACCTTTTGCCTGATTTGCTGAAAGGAGTTTTGTGGATTTGTGTGGGTCTTGGGTTCCCTGCTTTTAAAGTGGTTTGAGCAGAATTAAAGTGATAGCGATTGTGCTTTAGGCTCTCGGTCATATGAATACACACATGGTTTGTGTCAAACTGTCCTAGCACTTGATAAATAAGAATTATAGTAACCTTCACCCTCTCTATGTGGCATGTGTGTGTGTATATATATATGTAGACACATACATATGTACGTATAAGTACGCACACATCTACATGTATCATACCAGGCATTTTTCAAGTGACTAGTTAGGTGGGATGGAGTTCAGGAAATCATCAGAGCATTGCCAAGACCCCTGAGACTAGTTATGGTAGGAAGTCACCTCTTACCAGGTTGGCAGGTGGAACCCGATCCCAGGCCGTCTGGCAGGGCCTCCCCGCCCCCCAACCCCAGGGATACAGGGTGTGGGAGTCAGCCTCCTGGGACACAAAGCAGGCCATAGAAGGATGGAGGATGGATTGCGAGTGTGGGGTGAGCTCTGTGTTATCTTTTCTTGAGGTTAGGAGTGTTATCCCACTTTGACAGATGAGGAAACTGAGCTCAAGTGATTTTCCTAAGATCTATCCAGCCGTTAATGCAGAACTAACCTTGGAACCTGGGCCCGCCTCCTGCTGAAGTTTATGATCTTTAACTGATCCTGTAGAGTTCATTCTGGAGGGATAGCTGCTTGAGGGGGTTTCTGGGTCAGCCCGACACCTGCGCAGACCTGAGTAGAGTCCGTGTTCTTGTTTGAGGGGCCGTCTTAGCTCTAAGAGTAAACTCCCAAGAAGAACGAAGACAGACTGTGCCATTGCAGTTGGCCAGGTTGTTTTTCACCGATGATGATGATGATGATGCCGCCTGACGTTTGCTGGGGCCCCTGTGGTTTTGTGTATGTTGTGGCTGTGGGTACCTGGTGAGGGAGAGGAAGGCACAGTCACTGAGAGCCCTTCTTACATTAGCTGGCATGCCCTGATGGGGGTTTCTCTCTCTGGCTTGGCCATTCTGGTTACTGTTAACTTCTGTGTCATCACAGTGGCCAGTCAAGTTTTTGACATTGAAGTTGTGAACATCAGTGCGACCAACGTGACCCTGACCTGGAAAATCAACGATGATGAGACATCCTCTGTCTATACCTACAAGATCCAGGTTGCTGGGGCGATGGATTCCTTCACCCTCAATGCCAGTGAGACTTGGGTCAACATCCCTTCACTCAACTCAAGTACCTTGTACAACATCACCGTGTGCCCTTTCCTTCAAAACGGTTCTGAAGGCGTGTCAGGTTTCCTCCAAGTGTACACCTGTGAGTTAACTCATTGCTTTGCTAAACTTTCTTGCCTGCCTGCTATATGTCAGGCCCACGTATGAGACAGAGGTCTTTTCCTGCCCTCAAGGAGAGCAGGGCTCAGTGTGGGAGTCCCCGGGGACTCTTACCTCCTTCAGGATGTGCTCTGTAGTACTGGCGACCGTTGACGGACCCTCCCCCCGTGCTGAGCATTGTGCAGCGTGCTTTCCTTGAGCTCTCAGGGGACGTTCACAAATCTTTGACATGGTTGGCATTAGCCTTATTTTATGGATAAGGAAGCCACGGCTGAGAGAGATGCAGTAGGCAGGTGTCACACCTGGTAAGTGGCAGAGGTGGGATTAGACTCCAGCTGGGCTTGTCATGACCATTTAGAGCGGTAGAGGCACATGGATGCACGGAGACAAAAAGAACCTGCATACTCACGTCCCTTTGTCTTCCGGGGACTGACATTATCATGGAGCAGGGTACAGATATAGCTCATCTTTTTTTGCTTAACTCTACCTTAAAGATAAGATGATAAACAGCAAATAAAAAGTTTTCTGTTCTGAAGGAGGTCCAGTATTTAAAAGAAAACAATAATGGTGTACCAGCAGTTTATAGTACAATAGTATCAGTATTGTACCATGTCCAGTGTTTTAGGATCCCTGTGTTAGAGATGAGAAAGCTGCAGCCCAGCACAGTGGAATGATTTGCCCAAGGCCACAGAGTTAGGTAGCAAGTGCAGAGCAAAGACCTGTGCCTGGCTCTGGACCCAGGGATCGTTTCACAGAGTGCTCCACTTGGGTGTCTGTTGCTTCCTAGGAAGCATATCTTAGGAGGTTTTGTTTTTGTTTTTGTTTTTGTTTTAGAGAGGGGGTGAGGTTAGGGGAGAGCGGAAGGGAGGGGCAGAGGGAGAAGGAGAGAAAGGATCTTAAGTAGGCTCTATGCCCAGTGTGGAGTCCAAGGCGGGGTTCAAACCCACAGCCCTGAGATCAAGACCCAAGCCAAAATCAAGAGTCGGATTTACCGACTCTTAATTGGCTGAACCATCCAGGCACCCCCACACCTTAGATATTTTTACAAGTGTCTTCTGGACTGACTTTTTGGGGTAAATGGGAATTTGCTTTCACTTCTCCATCTTTTACATTTTTTACTGTTTAATCCCTTTATTAGTTAGGATTATGTTTAGCTGTGAGTAATAAAAAACTTCCCGAGTTTGTATGGCTTAAACAAAAGAGAAGTCTATTTCTTTGTCATCATAAAAGAAGCCCAGTGCCCAGCAGGAGGGGATGGTGGAGTGTTAGCCAGGGCTCCACTGCAGGAAACACAAGCTATGAGCCTTTTTTAAGCCAAAAGGAATTTAATCCTGGGAAATGAGGGTTAATAGAATTATTGGGAGGGTTGGTGTATTATTTTTCTAGGGCTGCCATGACCAAATACCAAAGACTGGGGAGCTTCAACAAGAGAAATTTATTTTTCACACTTCTGGAGGTAAGAAGACTGAGAACAAGGTGATGCATGGGGGATTTTCTCTGAGGCCACTCTCCTTGGCTTGTAGATGGCTGCTTCTCCCTGTGTCTTCACATGGTTGTCCTTTGGTCTGTGCATATCTGTGTCCTAATCTCCTCTTCTTATAAGGACTCCAGCTAATGACCTCATTTTACTTTAATTACCTTGTTAAAGACCCTTTCTCCAAATGTACCTCACATTCTGAGGTACAGAGGGTTGGGACTTCAACACAGGAATTTTGAGGGAGATACACAATTCAAGTCATAACAGCTGGGGAGCAGGCTTTAGGCTGGGACCCAGGAATGATTCCCACCCTAAGGGTCCAGCTTTGTCACAGCAGCTCCAGGAATGTATGTTCTGAGCTGGAGTCTGGGATCAGCAGCCACAGTGTTGGTTCTAGAGCTAAGCAGCCTGAGCTCTAGCCATTGAATCTACATTACAGCTATAAGGAGGGGGAGGAGCAGAAGATACCGCTCCAGGCTTACATGATACCGTCCTAGAAGTCAGACAGTATTTCTGCTCACATCCCATTGGCTAGAACTTAGCCGCATGGTTCATCTAGCAGCAAGGGAGGCTGGGAAATTTAGTCTTTATTTCTGATGGCTATGTAGATGGCTAAAAATCTAGGGCTGTATGACTAAGGAAAAAGCAGGGTAGGGAATTGGTTTTAGCAGCCTCTGCTGCATGTCCCTCAACAGAGGTTCATTTATTTCCGGTGAATGACTTTGTACAACCCAAAAGCAGTTTCTGTGTTCTTGTAGTCAAGTGTTTTCTCAGTGGCCAGAAATACCAGTTTCTGAGGGGCTTGTGTTGTAGAAGGTAATACAAAGAAGAGAAAAAGACAGGTCAGGTGTCCCAAGTGTGCATTTAATCTCAGTATAAATATTTTTGTGATGTTCAGTCACTCTTGTCTTCTGGAGAAATAGGTTCTTAATCTGGTTGTTTACTTTCTTCCCTCAGCCCCTGGTCCAGTTTCTGACTTCCGAGTGACGAGTGTTAGCACGAGGGCAATTGGCTTAGCTTGGAGCAGCAATGACTCAGATTTCTTTAAGATAATTACCACAAAGAATGGAACTGGAGAATCTCAGGAGAACACAACCACTCACCAAAGTATTATCATTGGTGGCTTATCCCCTGGAACTATGTATGTTTTTGACATATTTCCAAGAGGACCAAATGAGACTAAAGGGGATCCCCAGAGAATCTGCAATAGCACTGGTAAGCAAATGGACTGTGTTTTCTGTAAAACAGTTCCTTAAAGGAAATCAGTGTAATTTGTAACATCAAGTTTTCCAAATATTGCTTTTCTTTTTATCTAAGAAGAATCTTTAAAAAATGTATAATGATAGTAATGCATATTCATTATATAAAATAGACACACAAGCAAAAAGAAGAAAATCACATAGTAAACTATCAACCAGAAATAATCACTGATAATTTTTGGTGTGTTTTTGGTGTATGAAATAATTACTGATAACTTTTATGATTTTACAATTTTAAGATATATACAGGTGTGTGTGTGTGTGTGTGTGTGTGTATATAGTGTATTTTTTCTTTTAAAAACATTGAAGTCATCCTATTTACGTGGTTTTATAATCTGCCTTTTTCCACTTATTAGCTTATTATGGATATTTTCCCCTTTCAATATAAATATTTCTACAGGATAGTTTTAGTACCTGCCTGGCATTCCATTGTCTAAATAAAAGGTCAACAGATAATAATGGCCTATGGGCCAAATCTGGCCCACTGCCTGTTTTTATAAATAAAGTTTTATTGGAACACAACCATGCTTATATATTTACATATTGTCTATGACTTCTTTTGTGCTAGAAATAAGTAGTTGCAACAGAAAATATATGACCCATAAAGCTTAAAATATTTGTTCTGTGGCCCTTAAAGAAAAACTTGGTTGATCCCTGGGATAGATCATTGGTATTCAAAGTGTGATCCAGGGAACCCTGAGAGTTCCCTAGGTTCTTTCAAGATGTTGACAAGGTATTATTATTATCATAATGCTGCTAAAGTGATATTTGGCTTTTTCACTTTTATTCTCTCATAATGAGTGTACATTGGAGTTTTCCAGATGCTATATGACAAGGGATGGCATCATCACTCTGATGGCTAATGGAATGTAGGCTTGTGTATTCTTAGGTTTTAAAAATTCCCTCATTTTAAAAATTTCTAATACTGTAAATATAAATATAGCCTATATAAATAAAAATTCTCTTTTAAAAAATTCTCTTTTAAGAAGGTAAAGGGTCCTGAGATTCAAAAGTTTGAGAACCACTGATCTGGATATGTTGTAAATTACTTAAGTATTCCTCTTTCATTGGACAAGCAGATTATTTATAGTCTTTCATGAACAACATTGTTCTTTAAGGCTAAATGATATTGATGAAAGTATCTCATGAAAACAACTTAATGCTCATTTCTGTTGTTTTTAAAATTTGAAATGATTTTTTTTTGGGGAAGTTTGAAAAACACACTATTCTTTGATCTTTGATTGTAGGAGAATTGAAAACTTTTATGGAGAGGGGAAGAATAAAGAAATGAGACTAATTCCCTTAGCTACACATGAAATCAGTTGGGCTTTTGAGATTTTCCTTGTGTGGGTTTCTTCAACTCTGTTGGTTGGGTTAAGACATTGCTAATTACTTGAAAGATCTGTTTCCAAAATAAAGAACTGCTACCGTGCCTTCCTCAGATGAAAGGTAGTAATTCCTTTTCAACTCTGAATTTTAGATTAAACTGTTGAGATGGGGTCTTAATGTCAACATATATCTCTTTTCTTCTTTTGAGAATGTTGCTAATGATGAGGATCACCATGGTGGGGGACCCTTGATACTGCTTGACTTGCCAAGAACCAGAACTTAATGGAACAATAGTTAAACATATTGGGGGTCTGCCGAGTGCTGGGCTCTCATCCTTTATTTAAAATTTTTTATTACAACTTCATGAAGTAGGTTCTGTTAACCTATTTTCCAGTGTAGGGAATAGGAGTTCTGTGAGCTTGATAACTGGCCCAGAGTGACAAGGTAGGGCACTGGCCTCTGTCTGGCTTTGAAGAGTGAGGTGTTAGTGAGAGTGAGGACACTTTGATATGGTGCAGCTGCAAAGCCATTTAGGACTGTCGGTTGAGGAGAAGGCATCTCCTGTACTGTAGCCTGTAATTGAGTCTCATTGAATGGAAATCAAGAAGAGTTCTAACAAGGCATTAGTCTCTTAGGAGATTGCCATTCTATTATTGAACAACTTATTATAAATATCAGTATAATGGCATTACAGGCAATTTGGAGAAGGGAAACAAATACCATATGACCCAGCAATTCCAATCATATATGTCCATATGGGACTGAGTTACTTGGACACCAGTGATCGTAGTAGCATGATTCACAATAGCTAAGAGGCGGAAGCAACCACTTGTCCATCAGCAGAGCAGTGGATAGACAAAATATGGTATGTATATGGTATAGAATATTATTCAGCCATAAAAAGGATGAAATCCTGGTACCTGCTACAATGTAGAAAAACCTCTGGAACATTAAGCTACATGAAAGAAACCAGATACAGAAGGACAAATATTATATGTTTCCATTTCCAAGAGGTTCTTGGAATAGGCAAGTTCCTAGAGACAAAACTAGATTAGAAGTTACCAGGAGAGAAGAGTTGCTGTTTAATGGGAACAGAGTGTGTGCTGGCGGTGATGGAATGTTCTGGGTATAGTGGTGATGCTGGTGACACAACATTGTGTGTTTAATGCCACTGAGTTGTACATTTACAAATGGTTAAAATAATAAATTTCATGTGTATTTTACCACCATCAAAAGGAAAGGAATTAAGAATAACTCCACTCTTCTAACGCAGCTGCGTTGTTTTCACATCTGTGTCCACGGTCACAGGTTTTGTTTACATGTGATTATTATACAAATCATTGTATTTTGTAGTTGAACTTTTTTTTTTTTTTTTAATGGTCTTCATGTTTTTAGTGGCTGCAAAATGTTTCATTTGGTAGCCAGGCCACAGTTTACAAAGCCCTTCTCTTTTTATGGAATATTTAGATTATTTATAGATTCTTTTATCTTTATAGATAATGGTTTTCTTTTATGGTCTCTGTGGCATCCCTTTGACATCGGGAATTTGGTGGTAGGGAAAGAAGCCTCTCAAAGCTACCTCCCTTTAAGGAGAACACACTTAAAAAAATAAATTTGGGGGGGTGCCTGGATGGCTCCGTCAGTTAAGTGCCTGCCTTCAGCTCAGGTCATGGTCCCGGGATCCTGGGATCAAGCCCCACGTCAGGCTCTCTGCTCACTGGGGAGCCTGCTTCTCCCTCTCCCTCTGCTGCTCCTCCTGCTTGTGTTCTTGCTCTTACTCTCTCTCAAATAAATAAAATCTAAAAAAAATTTTTTTTGGAAGGGAGCGCATGCAGGTGGTACAAAATAATGATACCCCCCAAAAAATTTTACAGTGAAAATATTTCTTTCCCTCTTCTGTCCCTTCAGCCACTCAGTTCCTCTCGTTAGAGGTGACCTCGGTTCCCAGGTGAAGAGAGAATTGTGCTGAAAGCAAGGGCAGAAGAGACGCTCTGCTTATGTCCTTATTTCTGGGCCTTGATCTGTGCATTCATATTATATCTGGTTTGGTTTGCAGAGGTGAGGTGGGCGGAGCGGGGTCCTGAGGGACACTTCTCTTCTGAGCCCAGCTCCAAGGCTGGACTGTGTGTATGTGTTTTCCCTTCAGCCCGTCCTCAGATTCCCCCCAACCTAGCGAATGTCAACTCTGCATTTCAGCTGTTCTCTTATAGGAAGATGTTTTCTTTTGAGAAAATGATTAAAAAATAAAAGCCTATTTATCAAGATGCAGGGTACATCCTGAAAAACACACACAGCCTAAGTGCATGGTTTGATGAATTTTCACACACTGAACCCATCTGGTCATCAGCACTCAGATCAGGAAACCGAACCTGATTTCCACTCCAGAAGACCCCTGAAGGGGGGGGCATTTTTAGGGCAAAAGCAAAAGACCAGAGAACTGGCAGATGAATTGGTACATTCATCTGTGCTATGGAAGAGCCAAAATTCCTGAAAGAAATGTGTTTCTACCTTGTTTTGGAATTTACCTTTTGTGAACTCATTTGAGGCTTTGATGGCAAAAGAACAGTTCTCTTGACATTTTGAAATCAAGGTGGGCATTATGATGGTCCTTGACAGACTTCTTCTTCTCTTCCTTTCTTCCAACCAGACCCCAGCATGGTCTTTGACATCCGTGTGCTCAATGTCACCACAACCGAAATGGAGTTGGAGTGGCAGAATACAGATAATGCTTCTGACTATACCTACTACTTGGACTTACAGTCCAAGTATGGCACTAACAGGACATACAGCTCTCACAAAGCTATCACTCTCAAGGACTTGGTTCCAGGCACCTTATATAACATCACGATCTTTCCAGAAGTGGACCACATCGTGGGGAAGTCCGACTTCACTGCACCGTACACAAGTAAGTCTCTTAGGATGCCGGGTCAAGGACTATTCTTCCTGACTCTCTCCTGGAGGGTGGGAAGTAAGCCTTGCTTAAACAGTGGGGAAGGGACCACTGTGTTTCCGGGTTCCCGCTAGAGTAGGAAGCTGCTTAAGTGGAAAACATCAGAAAACAGCAGAGATTCTGCTGTTCTCAGTGTTGCTACTGAGCCATATGAACCTGGAATTGTCTTTAGAAGCAGAAAGTGATCTGATGAGCATGGACGACATAACTGTTTCATTCATTCCTTGGGAATACAGACTAGAGGAGGGTCACCTTGTCATGCTTCCATTAGAAGATACTGCTTACACGAGGAGCAGTAAGGGAGGTATCTTTTTAAAAATTTATTTTTTTTAAGGATTTTATTTATTTATTTGATGTGGAGAGGGAGATCACAAGTAGGCAGAGAGACAGGCAGAGAGAGAGGGCGGGGTGGGGGGAAACAGGCTCCCTGCTGAGCAGAGAGCCCGATGCGGGCCTTGATCCCAGGACCCTGAGATCATGACCTGAGCCAAAGGCAGAGGCTTAACCCACTGAGCCACCCAGGTACCCCAGTAAGGGAGGTGTCTTGCTAATGTTTGATCTAACTTACATGGTAGACATGGTAGTGTGTGTTATCTTTTTAGTATATTTTTCTCTTTCCTTAATCAGACTTCCAAAACAGATAGGAAATTATATCTGGAAAATATATTTCAGATAATTAAAAGCAGTAAGAAAGAATTTTTTTTCTGAGATTTAATCTATATGATTATTTTCTGAAGGTCTTTTTGGGAAGACTTCTGTTGTTTGAGTCAGCAAATGTTAGCTTTATTGATTCTGTCCCAAAGGGGTCAGCCTGTTTTTTAGAGGCAGTAAATAAAATAGTCTTGGAATTCAGGGCTAATCCGTGTCTTTTTTTGTTGTTGTTGTCGTTGAAACGAAGGGCCCAGCATTGTATCCAACATTGAAATAAGTATCAACACCACAGCAGCAACCTTAATTTGGCAGAACTTTGATGAAGATTCTGATATGTACACCTACCACCTTTTTATTAAGAAGGATGGAAGTTCTAGCAATGCAAGAGAACTCATCACAGACATGGGTGTCACCAGTGCCACCATCACCGAGTTAATACCTGGGTCGGTATACATGGTGGAGATCTTCACCCAAGTTGGGAATGCTACCTGGTCCCTGTCACCGAGCTGGCAGTCATTCTGTACAGGTGAGTAGCCTCGGGTGGCACCTTTCCTGGGTGGTGCTGACCTTGCAGGTAGGTCCTCTACAGACTTTGATCAGTTTTGTGTTGTACGGAATACGCTGATCTCTTTGAGACATCCTATTAGCTTATTAGTGCTGTCTAGTTATTCTTATCATTTATTCACTCAGGGATTTATCAAACAGTTACTATATGCCAAGTGCTGTTAATGATACCCACAAGTCCCTGCCTTCCTGGAATTTTTATTTTGGTGGGGAAGACAGGTAATAAACAAGATAAATAAGTAAGTTATTAGATGATAGTTACTGCTCGGCAGAGGAAAAAGTAGAAGGAAGGGGGAGATGAGATGTTTATCTAGGGTGCCCCAGTGAAAAGGTAACTGTTCAGCAAAGACCTGAAGGAAGTGAAGGAGCCAGCCATATGACTGTCAGGGCATAGAGCATGATAGTCAGAGAAACAGCCAGTGCAAAGGCCATGGGGCTGGAGTGTGCCCGCTGGGTTGAAGGAAGATCAGGAGGCCAGGATGGCGGGAGTGGACCAATGGGAGCAACGGGGCGACGGATGGGCAGATGGTGAGGCCTGAGAGGCCATGGGACAGGAAATGGATGCCATCCAGGCTTGTAGTTCATAGTTTGGCTTCCCCACTGAAGAAGATCGAAAGGATATTGTTAAAATGGATGCTCATCCTTTTCACCTGTCTTGATCCTTATCTCTGAGTGTAAATAGTGCTACAAAGAGAAGGGTAGCCTGCGTTTAACTGAGGGAGCTTCAGAGAGGGACCCAGGGAGTGTTTTACAGGTGGTTCTAAGTGCTTCGGCTCACAGATCTGCGCCCTTTGTCACCTTGGCACCTGTGTACCACCTTATTCTCTACCCCCTTTGTACCAACATCTTCTCTTCCTTAGACCAAGCTATGCAAGTGTGTTCAGGCTGATCTGGAAGTGGAGGGTTCCCATTGGATCAGCCTTCCTGGTGGTGTGGGAGCTGGGACCTTGATGACCTCTGACCTCTCACGGGGAGCAGCTAAGAAATCCTAGCAACTCTGAGTCACTTCTGCTATCTTGGGCTCCATCTGCCTGGTCTAGACACTGACCTTTGTGGTTTGGGTTGCTTCCATGCTGACATTTATCTTAGCTATAATAATTGCCACCAATAGCAAGAGAAAAACGTACATGAGCCTTTATGACTGGAGGGGGCTGGAAGAGGAGCTGTGGCGGTAGGTGTGCACTGGGCAGATGACTTTTTCAGGCCTCCGGTGAAGCATGTGGGAGCTGCTTCTAGTGATTTGTTAGTGCTTTTCCTGCTGCAAAATACTGCAGCATTGAAGTAGTGATAATACTCTCCCCTAGTACATTGGTACACAACCCCAAGATCATGACCTGAGCCAAAATCTAGAGTTGGAAGATTAACTGACTAACCAGCCAGGCACCCCTGACACCCCATTTTAAAGATGAAGAAACTGATCCCATTTACCATTGATTATTCAGCATGCTGTGTGTCTACAAAATACCCTGGCCTTGGGTTTGGAAATCCTGGGCTCCAGTTCTGGCTTTGTTGCTTACCAGTCACATCATCTTTAGCAACTTAACGTAACCTCTTGAAGCCTCAGCTGACACACTGGCAGAGTTAATAGGTGTTAACCCTACCTCTAACAGAAGGATTGTCAGGATGGCCCCAAGGTGAGATGACGCGGGTGAAGGAGTTGCTGTTCCCATGCTGTTATGCCACAGCTAGTTCTCACGGAGCCCTGTCGTCTTCCGGCGTGGTGACTGGTGGCCACTGTTTCATGTAGTTCCCCATACAGTCCTGCAGCTGAGACTTAGTTGGGTGACTGAGCCAAGGTCACACAGTTCAGTGATGCCTGATTCAATGTCAGCCTCTGCCTCTTCTACTGGACCGCGTGGCTCTCTCCGCATTACAGATGAGCTGGGATTCTGCTGCTCTCCGAGGGCCAGTGTCCGGCAAGGCACAAGTCCCACACTCTCATGATGTGCTGTCCTTGCTTGGCAGATCCCGCACCAGTAGCCTTCTTCCATTGCGAAGTGGTCCCCAAAGAGCCAACCTTGATTCTCAAGTGGCCCTGTCCTCCTGGCGCCAACACGGGCTTCCGGCTGGAGATCAGCAGAGGAGCTTGGGAAAATGTGACAGACCTGGAGAACTGCTCCTCAGAGAACGGCACTGAGTACAGGACAGAAATCACATGTTTGAATTTTTCTACCTCCTACAACATCAGCGTCGCTGCCTCTTCCTGCAACAAGACCGCATCTCCCGCCCAAAACACCTGCCTCACTGGCATCACAGGTGGGCTTTGTGGTGGTGGTGGTGGAGGGGGGACAGATGGCATTGTGGTCACTCCTAGAGAACGCCGTCCCAGTGGGTCTGCAAGTGTGGCCTAAAAGCCTGTATTTCTTTTTCAATTTCTACTAAAATACTTGTTTTTGTTGGCATAGACTGTTAATTCTATAGAAATCTAGCATTAAAATGCAGAGTAAGAGGGACTCTTTTTTTTTGTATTCCAAAAGCTTCCTTTGTTTTATAGAATAATTCATTGCCACGTTTTAAGTAGTAAGTTCCCTGACTGCATTACCAAAAAACATTTTCATAGAAATATTCATATATACACAAAAGTAGAAGGAGGCATAAAGAAACCCACATATCCATCACCACCCAATTGGACGTTTGTCAGAGTTTGACCAATCTTCTTTCATTTAGATCCCCTCCTCCCTGACTGGATTACTTTGAGATCAGTCCTGGTCATTCTATACCTTTATTTATAAATATATCAGGAAGCATTCCTCCAAGATAGAAGCTCCTTTCCCCTTTCTGACAGAACCACATTGCTCTTACCATCACACTTAAAAAGTGAGAAGTGCTTTTATTCCTTATGATCACATATCCAGTCAAGATTCCCATTTCCCTAGAATCCATATGGATAAGCTCCCCACCTATTTTGAGGCACAGGGACCACTTCCTGTCCAGGGGATCCCACTAGTCAAACTTTTCATGCTCATTGTTCTTATTTTTTGTACTTGGAAAAAAGGTTCCTTATGATGTCTTTGTTTTGTTTTTACCTATCTTTTCCTTGCAATGTCTTTGCCAACATTATGTCTTAGATCAGCCTGGTGGGTTGGTTTTGTTTTGTGCTCTTGACTCCTGTATATGTTTCCTTTGGGGTATTAGAATGTTTCTGGAAATTTCCCAAAGAATCCGTGAGTGTAATAAGAAAAAAAGGCCTCTTACTATAGGAACACTGACTTGAAAGTGTTTGAGGGGTTCTGTGCACAGAGCCTTGGATTTAGACAGGGAGACCTGGGTTTGATTCTGAGTTCTGCCTTTTGCCAGCTATGGGATCTCAGAAGAGCTACCTAACCTTTATGAGCCTTGTTTTTCTTGGTTATAAAAAGGGGAAATAATACTAGCTTTCAGGATTGTTATACAAATTAGATGAGGTAATGTGTTTGCAAGACCGCTTGAGAGTGGCCATGTATGGCTGCTCAGGTTGTGCACCACACAGTTCCAGGGGACACCATTCATATGGACTACAGTGTGCATGGGGCTCCTTGAAGTTGTGTAGTACACAACTGTATCAGATGCCCTGGGTCACACTCCTTCAGGTTTCTGCAGCAATCTAGAACACAATAGAAATAATGAACCTTCTCTGTAGTTTCTGTTTTATAGTGTCGTCTCGTCAGCTGCTGAGAAACATAAGCCATATCTGACTCGGTATCTTTAGGGCTATACGCAGTGCCTAGGGAAGAGAAGGAACTTGTCAGAAATAGTTGTTTCTGAAGCTGAACAGTATGGTAGGTTTGGATAATGACCAGTTCTTTAGTCCAGTAATTCTCTTACTTTTCAATCTGTACCTCTCCCTTTCCTCAGATGAATTTTTCTTTAAGATTTATGTATTTGTTTGAGAGAGAGAGAGAGTGGGTTGGGGGGTGGGGAAGAGGGGCAGAGGGAGAGAATCTTCAGGCAGACTCCGGGCTGAGCATGGAGCCTGATGCAGGGCTCAAGCTCATGACCCATGAGATCATGACCTGAACCGAAACCAAGAGCTGATCTTTGAACCATCTGAGCTATGCGGGTGACCCCTCCCGCAGATGAACTTTTATAGACAAAATTAACATATCTTTTATTTATCATAAAGGTGGAGCTGCATTTTCTCTGAGAGGTATGGGATGGGTAATCTCGGAGAACTGGAGTGATGGTCTTCTAGCCGTCATTTGTTAGTTGCTGACTCTATGCCTGGGGTGAGGGACACTGGTGAGTAAGGCAGATGGGGTCCCTGGAGCAAAGGATTCAGATAAGCGCAGAGAGGGAGAGGATTTCCAGCCCTGCAGGTAGATGAGCTAGCATGCCGCTGACAATCTAGTCCCCTCTGGGCAGCTAACAGGCAAAGAGCTGACGGGAATCCCTGGAGTCTAGGTTGGGAAGCCTGGCTAGGTGGTTGACAATTAGACATGGGGATAGCGCCCCCAAGTGGTCACTACTCTCAGTTACTTGAGAGGTTGCCGAAGCCTGGTTCAAAGCTGTGCTGTCCTATAGAAAATAATAGGAGTCTCTTGCAGCATTTAACATTTCCGAGGGGCTGCATTAAAAAAAAAAAAAAAGTAAGGGCTGCCTGGGTGGCTCAGTGGGTTAAGCCTCTGCTTTCAGCTCAGGTCATGATCTCAGGGTCCTGGGATCGAGTGCCACATCGAGCTCTCTGCTGGGCAGGGAGCCTGCTTCCTCCTCCCTCTCTTTCTCTCTCTCTGCTTGCCTCTCTGCCTACTTGTGATCTCTCTCTGTCAAATAAATAAAATCTTAAAAAAAAAAGAATAAAAAAAGTAAAAAGGGGCACCTGGGTGGCTCAGTGTGTTAAGCATCTGCCTTTGGCTCAGGTCGTGATCCCAGGGTCCTGGGATGAAGCCTGGTGTCCAGCTCCCCTGCTCAGTTAGGAGTCTGCTTCTCTCTCTCCTTCTGCCTCTCCCCCACCCACTCGTGCTTGCTCACTCTCTCTCTCTTTCTCAAATAAATAAATAAAATCTTCATATGAAAATTAAAAAAATAAAGTAAAAAGGAAGAGCTGACGATTTAAATCACATTTAATATTAAAAACATCATTATAGGGGCACCTGGGTGGCTCAGTGGGTTAAGCCTCTGCCTTCGGCCCAGGTCATGATCTCAGGGTCCTGGGATGGTGCCCTGCATCGGGCTCTCTGCTCAGCAGGGAGCCTGCTTCTGCCTCTCTCTCTGCCTGCCTCTCTGCCTCCTTGTGATCTCTCTTTCTCTGTGTCAAATAAATAAACAAAATCTTTAAAAAAAATAAAAACATCATTATATATTATATATTAAAAACATCATTCCAACACGTAATCTACACAAAGTCAATTATCGATGAATTATTTTACATTCTTTTCTCATGCTCAGTCTTCGGCATCCAGTCCATGATTACACGCCTAGCACGCCCGAACTGGGGCTGGTCATGTTTTAGCAGCTGAGCAGCTCTGCGTGGCTGGTGGCTGCCACCCTGGGCAGCACCAAGTGTGGGAGCCCCGCTGCCGTGTTTTTGTTCAGTTTTCTCAGTCTTCCTGAATCTTGACTATAATGATGAAAACATTCGAACTGTACGTGGGAGACAGATTTAGGTAAAGGGAGAGTACGTGTGTGTGTGTGTATCTGTGTGCGTGGAGAAGGATCATCTTTAATTCAGCGTTTTCTTCCTCTTGTGTTAACTCGGAGGCTGACTTCAGCAGCTCAGTTCAGAAAGGGGAGGCACATCCTCGTGAAGGTCGTGCATGGAATGTTCCTGCATGGGCTTTTCTGGGAGAGGGATCAGTCGGGTTTCTCTAGGTGGCATTTTAAACCAACTCCAGCAAAAAAAATGAGGACTTTAGTTTGAAGAATGTGGACCAGGAACACAGCCAGGTCTCAGGAGAAAGCGCATCCTCTTCATGTCAGCTTTGCTTTCTTTCTTTTCTTTTTTTAAAGATTTTATTTATTTATCAGAGAGAGAGCGCACAAGCAGGCAGAGGCGGAGAGAGAAGTAGGCTCCCTGCCAAGCAAGGAGCCGGATGTGGGACTCAATCCCAGGACCCTGGAATCATGACCCGAGCCGAAGGCAGCGGCTTAACCGACTGAGCCACCCAGAGGCATCCCTCAGCTTTGCTTTCATCCAGGTCTCTCTGTTCCATCATGGTCCTCAGCCAACCAAACCGTCTGGTGCTGTGGCCACGCGGTGGGCAGGTGACTGCGGACAGCTCCCACCTCAGAGTCCCAGCCACACAGGCTCTCTCTCGCTCTCCATCCACCCTGGTTCTTTGGGTCAGGATGATAAGACGATAAGAAAGGCAGGCTGTCTTCAACAAACAAGGCTGCTGGGAGCCTGCCCGGGCGTGTGGCTGGGCATGCTGAAGGTGCCGTTGTGAGCTGGGGATCTGCCATCTCTGCCCCCTACTTCCCTTTCCTGTCCCTTGCTCTGGATGTGCTTTCCCTGAGCCCCACTCCCTGCTCCCAGAGCAAGGGCAGAGCTTGAAGGCACTATAGCAAACTTCACCTTAATAATTTTATTCCCTCTTTGGTTTTAAATGGTGGGTGATCATGTTTTGCTTTGTTCTGTTTCAGCCCCCCCTTCTCCAGATGGATCCCCGAATATTACGTCCATCAGTCACAATTCCGTAAAGGTTGAGTTCAGTGGCTTTGAAGCCAGCCACGGACCCATCAAAGCCTATGCGCTGATTCTCACCACTGGGAATGGTAAGGAGGGGTCGGTTATGGCTCCAATAGCCCAGGAGCCATGCCATGACAGTGGCCCATTCCTGTGCCCACTTAGGCACACTGGAGATACAAGCACATGTCTGTTTTTACACTGTCACCCACGCTTTGGTGCTCAGAAGGTGGTGGGTGAGCTCTTTGTCCGATGATCTAGGTCAGGGTTGACAGACTTTCTGTGAAGGGCTGGATAGCAAATAGTTTCAGCTTTGCAGGCTGTGCAGTCCCTCTCACAGCTGCTGGACTCTGGCACTGTGGGGTGAGAGTGGCCGCAGAAGGGGCGTGAAGTATGAGTGTGTCTGTTCCATTAATATATTATTTATCAGAATGGGTGGCCGGCTGGATCTGGCCTGTGGGTTGTACTTTGCTGACCTCTGACCTAGGTTTTTCTTCTCTTTTACAACACAGGATCTTTCAGGTGACAGAATGTTAGTCTGTTAACCAACTCTCTCTCTTTCTCTCTCTCACACACACACACACGTGCATGCACGCATGTGCACACACACGCACACCTGTTATACTAGAGGGTGGCTTTCTCTCGAAGGAAAACAGAAAGTGACTTCTGCATTTGTGGTTAAAAACTTGCAGAAAGCATCCTCACAGCTGAGAGAGGAGGGGGCTCACATGCTCCTTTTCCCCAGTGGGGCTCCATAACATTCTTTGGTGGGAAGAAAGGTGTGATTTGGGGTTGTTCTTGTTAGTGTTAGCTGTCCTTGTGCAATGCACAAGGCTGCATTTTCAAGGCCACGTTCTGTTGTTTTGTTGATTCTTTAAATGGGAACAATGCAGTACTGCCTCTGCCCATTCTCTCAGCCCTGCCCAGGGTACTGTCCTCACCTCCTTGAGGACCCAGAGGTGGAGCCCCTTGTGAGGGGTGTGGGGATCCTGGAACACAAGGACTTTGCTGGTGTCATAAACCCATGGCAGGGTTTCCACAACTGATGCTGAGATCTCCCAGTCTCTCTGTCTTTTCGTTTTGGGTCTGTTTCAGGTCATTTTGTGGTGAAGATTTCCAGCAAAATCCAAGCTTAGACGTTGTTGAATGAAGGAGGAAATATTTCATAGTGACCACAGTGACCAATATCACCCTGTGGTAAAGAGACCACAGGCACTGAGTCGATGGTCTGGCTTGAAAATCAACCCCACTGTATATGCAGTGTGGTCTTGGGCCCAGGTCCTTTTAGCTTTCCATGCCTTCATTTTCCCACCTGTAAGATGGGTACAGTAAACCCATGTGATGAGACTATTGTCAGTGTCTGTCGTTTAGTGCACAGAGATAAGTAAAGCAGGTACAACTTAGTTTAAGTGAAGCCTGACGGAGAGCACACGTGAGAGATGGGAGCTATCGTCATTACCGCCCAGCATCAATATCACTATTTAGATACGTGAGAAATGGAAATCTCTCTCTGCAGTCACTTTCTTATGACTTTCTTTCTGTGTGCCTTTCTTAGCTGTTCAGCCATCTGCAGATGTTTTGAGATACACGTATGAGGATTTCAAAAAGGGGGCCTCAGATACTTACGTGACATACCTCATAACCACAGAAGAGAAGAGACGTTCTCAGGGCTTGGCTGAGGTCTTGAAATACGAAGTCGATGTTGGGAACGAGTCAACCACGCACGGTTATTACAACGGGAAGCTGGAACCCCTGGGCTCCTATCGGTAATGCCCTAGTGGTTCTTGGCCTCTGGGGCCAATCCTCGTGAGTGCGAAGTTCGCACACCACGGTGGTGGCCCTGTCTCAGCTATCTCTTTCCTTCTTGTCATCCCATAGGGCTTGTGTGGCCGGCTTCACCAACATCACCTTTAACCTTCGCAATAACGGACTCATAGACGGGCCCGAGAGCTACGTGTCCTTCAGTCCCTATTCAGATGCAGTGTTCTTGCCCCAGGATCCAGGTAGAAAAGAACAACAGTGCTCTTAACATCTCAGTGGGGTTTTGCTTCTGGTGTGGACAGAAGGCCAGGAGTCTGCGCACCTCCCTCCATCCCTGGGAGGGCTGGTCTCTCCTCTCAGAAGCTGAGAGGTCTCGTGGCCATCAAGGGCCACATCTGCTTCCTGGAAGGAGGCCCCCCGCCCTGCCCGCCCCCACTATGTCTCTCCTCAGCCCATTGCCCTTCCACTCTGCAAACACATTTAGTCCTTTTTCTCAGAGTGGTCATCCGTGTGCCCACGTGCCAGGCACCATTTGACTTTAGTGCATGGCATCTTCAAATGTTAGGGCCAAAGGAGCTGCAGAAATTGTCTTGTCCAGCTCCTTTCTGAGACACAAGGCTGTGAAGGCCCAGAGAGGGGCAGTGACTTGCGTAGAGGCAGGCTCGATACTCTGGCCTCAAACTCCTTGTCAAGCACTCCTGTCCTTTGTCACACAGAGTGATTCTGGAGCCTTTGTCACACCAAGTGATTCTGGAGCCTCAGGGACCCAAGGGAGTAGTATACACTTTACCTTCAGGCCAGCGGCAAAGTGATCCGCTGGTTTGTTAGTGTGTCCGGTTTTTACACTTGATAGTTGTTTGCTTCAGGAAAGAAGCCCCAGGAGCCAAGTTCAGGGAACCCCCACTCCCTCCCCCAGTAATCCGAGGGGTTTTCTGTCACTTGAGCACAGTGCTGTTGGTACTTCTGCTCATTGGTGGCTGTTAGTCTCACAGAGTTAGAGGTGGCAGGAACCACAGGGAACATTTTTTCTAGTGGTTTTTAAACAGCGGTCACTCCACCAAACAGGACCCAGGTCTGAGACCCTCCCTGCCCCACCCTGCCTCCACAAGAGAGTTTCTGCCTGGTTTTCTACTTTATATATTGGGCTGCTGCTTGCAATTTCATCTGAAGAAAGACATCAGCAGTAAGAACAACTCGAAAATCATAGACAGCCCAGTTCCTTATGTTTGCAGTGGAGGAACCCTGGGGGAGGGGAGCCGTGACTTTCTCAAGGCCAGCCCATTGGTGGTGGGCTGGGGCGGGGGACCCTGGCTCCCAAATGCCTGGACTAATTTTATGTCCAAAGATATTTAGCGCATGCGTGCACGCGCACACACACACACGCACACACTCTCTGGTTTGAGGACTCTGGACCAATTGTGAACATCTTTTTTTTTAAACTTAATTTTGATGAACATTTTTTTCATGTGTCTGTTAGCCATTTATATGTCTTCTGCCCCCAAACCACATTGAGATACCACCTTACACTAGTTATAATGGCCAAAATCAACAGAACGGGAAACAACAGGTGTTGGAGAGGATGTGGAGAAAGGGGAACTCTCCTACACTGTTGGTGGGAATGCAAGTTGGTACAGCCACTTTGGAGAACAGTGTGGATGGAGATTCCTCAAAAAACTAAAAATAGAGCTTCCCTCTGACCCTGCAATTGCACCACTGGGTATTTACCCCAAACATACAGATGTTCTGAAAAGAAGGGCCATCTGCACCCCAATGTTCATAGCAGCAATGGCCACAGTCGCCAAACTGTGGAAAGAACCAAGATACCCTTCAACGGACGAATGGATAAAGAAGATATGGTCCATATATACAATGGAGTATTATGCCTCCATCAGAAAGGATAAATACCCAACTTTTGTATCAACACGGACGGGACTGGAGGAGATTATGCTGAGTAAAATAAGTCAAGCAGAGAGAGTCAATTATCATACGGTTTCACTTACTTGTGGAACATAAGGAGCGATATGGAGGACATTAAGAGAAGGAAAAGAAAAGTGAATTGGGGGAAATTGAAGGGGGAGACGAAGCATGAGAGACTGTGGACTCTGCGAAACAAACTAAGGGTTCTGGAGGGGAGGAAGTGGGGGGTTGGGTGAGCCTGGTGGTGGGTATTAAGGAGGGCAAGTATTTTATTTTATTTTTTAAATTTTTATTAACATATAATGTATTATTAGCCCCAGGGGTACAGGTCTGTGAATCATCAGGCTTACACATTTCACAGCACTCACCATAGCACATACCCTCTCCAATGTCCATAACCCAACCACCCTCTCCCAACCCTCCTTCCCCTGGCAACCCTCAGTTTGTTTTGTGGGATTAAGAGTCTCTTATGGTTTGTCTCCAAGGGGGGCACGTATTTCATGGAGCACTGGGTGTGGTGCATAAACAATGAATCTTGGAACACTGAAAAAATAAAATAAAATTAAAAAAATAAAAAATTTTATTCAAATTCAATTAACATATAGTATATTATCAACTCATGAGCATCTTTTGAAGTGCTTCCTGTTTGGACTTACCCCAGGTGTCATCTGTGGAGCAGTTTTTGGGTGCATCTTTGGTGCCTTGGTAATTGTGGCTGTGGGCGGCTTCATCTTCTGGAGAAAGAAAAGGTGACTGTTTATGTTGGTGACAATACCCTACTTTTTAAGGGACTTTTTAAAAAAATATTTTACTTATTTATTTGACAGAGACACAGCAAGAGAGGGAGCACAAGCAGGGGGAGTGGGAGACAGAGAAGCAGACTCCCTGCTGAGCAGGGAGCCTGATTCGGGGCTCAATTCCAGGACCCTGGCATCATGACCTGAGCTGAAGGCAGATGCTTAATGACTGAGCCACCCAGGCGCCCCTAAGGGAGCTTTTTACTATGGAAAATTTCAGACAGTCACACGATTGGAAGGACCAGTGTCATGGGTCCCCCACCCCCATCCCCGTCATCCACACTCTCCACTGCTGGCCAGTCCTGCTTCCCCTCAGCCGCCCTGGCATCAGGTCCTGGTGAACACTGCCGTGTAAGGTGCTTCCTCGGAACTGTGCCTTCTGGTTCCCGAATCAATGGTGTGGTGTTAAGAGATTTCACTCTCGAGTTAGCTAAGTTTGAACACATGGGTGGTCTGAGTAGCAGTAGGGAGCTTTGCCGGGATGTCTAGGAGACTCTGTGATATGACACCGAGCGTTAAATAGATACAGTGTGTGAGTAGTAAAAATAGCATCTCTGTTTTGAGTGCTTCCTGTGTGCCTGGATTTGTGTTTTCCATCAATTCTCATGTTCATGGGGCTCTAGGAGGTGGGTCTTGAAAGCCCCATTGCAAGGACACACAAGTTTAGTGTAGGAAGCGTGGAAGTGAACTTGAACCCGGTGTTTGCACTTCATTGCTCGCTCTCCTGTCTGACCATGTGTGGGGCAAGTGAAGCATGTGTATCTGCTGGCATTCATTTGCACTCCCCAGGTGCTGCCAGCCAGGGAGTTTCCTTCTGGCTCAGAGTTCCTGAAAGCAGCCCCGCCAGGGTCTTCTGCCGCCATCTTACCCTGTTGGGTTGACAGGCAGATTTTAAATGTGTGTGTGTGTGTGAGGAGGGGTCAAAACAGCTTTATTGTTTTTTGTTGAAATAAGTGTTATACATGCTTGTGGTAACAAACAAAACAAAAAGCAGAAAAGAAAAAGAAGAGCAAAGGAACTAGATAATTCATAATCACAGCTCCTGCACAAAACTACATTTCACATTGATATGGTTGTGAAACTCACAGATGAATACACACACACACACACACACACACGGAATCATATTATGGACATCATTTTCTAGTCTGGACAGCTTCAAATCTTCTTCATTTTAAGTAGATACAGAGTATTCAACTGTGTGGAAATTATTCAATTTTCCTGATGTCTTCAGGTTTTTTTTTTTTTTTTTTGTTACAGTTAGTTAACTTGTCTCTAAATCTCTGGGCACATTCATGATTATTTCCTTAGGCTAAATCCCAAAGTGGGCAGTTTGCTGACTCTTTGGGTATGGTGCCTGTTTCCAAATTTTTTTTTTTTAAAGATTTTATTTGTTTGAGTAAGAGAGAGAAAGAGATAGAGAGAGCATAAGCAGGCGGGAGGGGGACAGGGAGAGGGAGAAGCAGGCTCTCTGCATTTGGTGCTTGATCCCAGGAGTCTGAAATGACAGCCTGAGCTGAAGGCAGATGCTTACCCCACTGAGCCCCTCAATTTTGATACATACTGACAAGTCACCTTCCAGAAGGGGTGTGTGTATGTGTGTGTGTTTGTGTGTGTGTGTGTATATTTTAAACACCAATATGGGGTTTAGCCAACAATGCAGGAGATTGCCAGGAGTCCCACCACCATACCTATAGTGGAGGTATTTTCTGGTTTATTTCATTAACTTATCGGGAAGCCCTTCTCAAAGAAGAGTTTGAAGAAATGACTCTGGCTTTACAAAGGAGTCATGCTGTGGATTCACATTTACCCAGAAGTATTTCTAACGGTGGCCTGAGCAAGGTTCTTCCATACTTTTGGATGGTATGAAAGAGAGTTACTTCGCAGATTTGTAACCAGGGTTTGCTGCCTAGACCTCTAAGCTTAGTGTTAGGGAACAAGATTTAGTGTCATATATATATATATATATATGGCATTTTGTAGATACATGAAAGTGGAAAAGCCCAGAATTACCCTTTTTTTGGTCTTATTGGGTCTTTGTTTCTTTTAAAACAGGAAAGATGCGAAGAATAATGAGGTATCCTTTTCTCAAATTAAGTAAGTCTCTGGAGTTATGAGCTTTATTTGAAGACATTTAATCCCCCAATCTGTTCAGTAACTATCTAGAGAATTTTTGGTGGAACTTGCTGTCCTTTTTTCTAACACATTTGGCCATGATCATCCCGAAGTTCTTGCTAGCTTTGTTTTTCTGCAAGGAATCTGTTTGTCTCCTGAAGCTAGTAGCTTCCTTGCCATGTTCTCCTAAGGCGAGTAAAACCTCACTTCCATATTCTACCAATAAATTTGTATTTTGTGATTTTTAAGGAAAAATAAATGGGTTATCAATATCTAGGAGAGGACCTTGTTGGAAGTCACAAAGCCAATCGGTGACGTGAGAGGGTCTAAAAGTGAGATTTCCTGATTTACATTTCAGTGGTTTATAAATAACATTATAGTGAGCCCTCCCTCCCTCATTTATTATTATGGTTTTTGTTCTTTTGGGAAGATGTTTACTATTATTTCTTGAGTCATGACTGAGTCGGTGTTTCTAATGGATTATTTTTTTCTTTCCCTTTCTATGATGAAGACCTAAAAAGTGAGTAGCTGCTTTAATTTTTTAATAACTTGTATTTTTCTGTTTTGAGCATGAACTTTATTGAATATAAAAGAGTTCTAAGAAGTTGTTCTGTTTTCTTAGATCCAAGTTAATCAAAGTGGAGAATTTCGAGGCCTACTTTAAGAAACAACAAGCAGACTCCAACTGTGGGTTTGCAGAAGAATATGAAGTACGTGGTTGTAAATAATGTGTTTTTTAACTGCTTTATGTTTCTTCCAAAAGTTGGGGACCCGCCCATTTTTGTTGCAGGGAGAAGCGCTGGGTGAGAGGCGGCCCTCTTGGAGGGCGGAGGAGCTCTTGCATGTCGCCCGGGGGACCCACTGTGGCCGCGTGGGCTGCGAGCCCTTAGATGTACCCCCACTGCTAGTGGTTTGTGTGTTTAACCTTGTTGAGAAATGAAGATTATGCAGAGAGAGGGAGAGAAACTGGGTACTTCAGTCGGAGGGCTGTTCACTGGAGTAGTTGCGAAGCTGTGGGGGCTGGCGTGGGGCGCTGTGTGGCCCAGGTCGATTCCTGAGCATCATGTGAAGAGCCGCGGAAAGAGTTCCTGTGCTTCCATCCTGTTCTGTCCTGTCCAGTGTGCTCTGACCACCCTCACCAGCCCAGAGCCCCTCCCTCAGAATGGCCACGCACACTCACACGCTCGCTCTCCCCGCCCTGCCCTGCCACCCTCCCCACCCTGTCCCGCCCTGCTGCCCTCCCTGCCCTGCCTCCCTTGCCTGCTGCCCTGCTGCTGTCTCTGGCTCGCCATTTGCACTGGCTTCCTGTGGCTGCCATAACAAATCACCACAAACTCGTGGCTTTAAACATTAGATTTGTATTCTCTTGTGGTTCTGGAGGCTCTACTAAGTCTAGAGTCGGGTGTCAGCAGACCAGTCCTCCCTCCATCTCTCTGGGCGGGGATCCCCTTCCTTGCCTCTTCCAAAGTGGGTGGCTCCAGGTGTTCTGTGGCTTGGGGCTGTGTCTCTGCTCTGTGGCTCCCCCCACCATGGCTCCCCTCGGGGTGTCTTGGGTGAGCACACTTGTTACTAGATTTGGGGCCCACCTGCAGATTCCGGGATGATCTCACCTCAATTCTCAACTTAAATCCATTCCGCAAGACTCTTCCAAAAGCAGCTCACAGCCACAGGTTGCGGGGATTAGGATATGGGCCTGCCTTTTTGGGGGCTGCCATTCAACCAGCTGCATGACTCAAAGCACCGCTCAGGACGTAAATTCTGTCTTTGGGTCCCTTACCCCTGTGAGGTGTTGCCTGTCAGTGACATCCAGGATTTATCTAATTCTGCCTCGTTGTAAAGTTAGTGATTTCCGCCTACTCCCCGCTCCCAGGTTGTAAGCTCTTTGAAGGCAAGGATTATGCTTTTTCTTTGAGTGGGACCTCTGCATTAGTTCCCACGGGCTGCCTTAACAAAGCACCACAGACTGGGTGGCTTCTGACATCAATTGTTCTCTCATGGTTCTGGAAATCAGGGGTCCAAAATCAAAGTGTTGGCAATGCCTTGCTTCATCTGAAGCCTCTAGGGAAGGCTCCTGCCAGAAGCTTCAGCCAGCTTCTGAGAGAGCCGAATCCTAACCACTAGACCACCAGGAGCGTCTTCAGCCAGCTTCTGGAAGCTCCAGGCATTCTTGGTGTGTGGGAGTCTAACTCCTCTGCCTGCCTTCATCTCAGCACACCTGGCTCCCCTCATATGTCTGTATCTTGGTGTCTCTTCTCTTAGAAGGACATTAGTCCTGTTGGATGAAGGGCCCACCCTACTCCAGTATGACCTCATCATCTTCTTCTTCTTCTTCTTTTTTTTTTTTTTTTAAAGATTTTATTTATTTATTTGACAGACCTAGATCACAAGTAGGCAGAGAGAGAGGGGGAAGCAGGCTCCCTGTGGAGCAGAGAGCCCAATGCGGGGCTTGATCCCAGGACCCTGAGATCATGACCTGAGCCAAAGGCAGAAGCTTAACACACTGAGCCACTCAGGCGCCCCCATGACCTCGTCTTCTTTTGATGACAGTGGCAAAGACCAAAGTTCCAAATAAGGCTGCATCATTCCCAGGTCCCAGGGATCAGAACTTCAGCCTATCTTTTTGGTGGACACAGTTTAACCCAAAACACCTCTGCACTCCCACTTTGTTCTGTCGTGCTCTGTGGTCATTATAACTAACATCTGGGCACTAAACAAACGGACAACTCATTTGTTTTCAGGATCTGAAGCTTGTTGGAATCAGTCTACCCAAATATGTGGCGGAGCTGGCTGAGAATAGAGGAAAAAATCGCTATAATAACGTTCTGCCCTGTAAGTCGTTGTTGTTGTTTTTTTTTCCCCCCATAGGCTCTTCCCTGTTCTCGGTCTCTGGCTGTCAGGCCTCTAACAGTGGAGGGGAATGGGACCAGGGTGCTGGCTAGCCACGCCCACGATCATTCATGAGTCCCCTGTGGGGTCCTAAGCCCTTTATTTAGGCATAGTCCACTGAATCCAGCCCTCAGGAGAACCTTATGAAGTAGGTAGTAGAATATTCGGTTTGTAGATGAGAAAATTGAGGCACAGGGTAGCTAGGGGGGTTTTCCCAGAATCGCACAGAGGGCCATGGCGGGCCAGAGCTATCGTTTCTTTCCGGGAAAGGGCCAGAGTCCCTGCTCTTTTCCCCTCTCTCTTAAAGCCCCTCATTTCAGCTACTGTTGCTCTGGAAAGGAAGGGAGCAGGAGGAGGATGGGAGTAATGCTTTCTGCTTATCCAGATACATCTCTGGTGGGCTGATGAGAGCATTCCACAGCTAAATAGGACTTGTATTTGAATTCACATATTGGAAAAGTAACAATGTCTGCCTAATGGATGGGGATAACATCCAACAAAGCAAATGGGGTTTAAAATGAGAGTGATTTATCACATCATCCGTGGAGATGAAATGTCAGCCCTCTACCACGGAAAGCTCTTTGTGGTCTCTCTCGGGTGGGAATTAGGGCATGAAGAACTTATCAATAGATTGCAGCTGTGTTCTGATTTTCGCTGTCATTTATAGGCTCTGCAGATGATTTTTCCACGAGGACATTTAGAGACATTGTCTTTTTTCTTCGAAGCTGTGTTTTTCTTTTCCGGTCTAAAACATTAACTTCTGCTTAGATTCAGGATTTTTTAGCTTCTGCATTCTTTCTCTTTGTGCCTCCTGCCGTCTGTCCTTGTACTGACAGCAGGTACTGACCCTTGTTCCAAGAAAAGTGCTTTCAAAATCAGGCTGGTGGGATGTGCCTCAGAATGGCCTGTCCATGGTTAACTCAGGATCATTGGCCTGTTCCTGTGAATGTTGCAGAGATTTTCAGATCCAGAGTTTGGGAGAGTTTTGGGCTGAAACTCGTGTAGGTCAATGAGTTTGGAATTGTCGTGTTATTTTGTCCAGGGGAGGGTGAGATAATATGTGATCAGAGGCAGGGACACACAGGTGATGCTACTGATTACATTTGAAATTCTAACATTACTTCATTTCTTGAGTTGGGCAAGATTGCGTGTGCATTTATTTTTGTAGTGTTTATATGCAACTGATAAATTGTGTGTGTATTTTTAAGATGAAAACACAAGGATTTTGTGTTTTAGATCTTCCCACCCATAGTTGTCTTCCACATTTATGCCTGAGTTTGGTACTTTTTGTAATGACATTTTTAGGAGAATAGAGAAAGTATGCAAACCTTTCCTTCGTGGGAAGAGCACTAGATTTGAATTCTGAGTGTCTTTGACCGGACATTAGTACTTAATCTCACAGACCCTCAGTTTCCTCATTTGTAAAACGGGCACAAAAGCCAGAAGGGTGGTTTTGAGGAATAAATACAATTGCTCAGTGCATCTCTTGGCTTGTGACACGCACACCAAGGATGCTAATAGCAGTAGGTTGGTGTTGTCTGAGAAGGAGGTCTGGCTTGATGAAGAGCTCGGACCCTCGCTGCAGGCTGCCTGGGGTTCAAATCCTGGCTCTGCCAGTGCGTAGCTCTGCTGGGCTTCTGCAGGCAATTGCCTGACTCCTCTGTGCCAGTCACTTGTGCTGACTGTAAGGATCAAGTAGGTCATCTCCATAAAATGCCATGTGTCACACCTTCAGGATGTGAGAGGAGCCCCTGTGTTGCCATTTTGTACTTTTCTCTCTTGTGTGTAACGCTCCTCAAATATTTCTAATGAGGACATTTTTCTCTCAATGCCACAGATGATATTTCCCGTGTCAAGCTTTCCATCCAGACCCACTCAGCTGATGACTACATCAACGCCAACTACATGCCCGTAAGTGGGGAGACGAGCCCAGAGCATGGCTTGTTCGGGTGAAATCTTCGGGGCTCCTCCTTGTGTCTTTGACACTGAATTTGGGTTGATTCCCATTTTCTAGGGCTACCATTCCAAGAAAGATTTCATTGCCACACAAGGGCCTTTGCCCAACACTTTGAAAGATTTCTGGCGTATGGTTTGGGAGAAAAATGTATATGCCGTCGTTATGTTGACCAAATGTGTCGAACAGGGAAGGGTAAGTGTTTTATTTTTTACTTAAGTTATTTTAAAATTTATTTTATTTGATTATTTTAATTTTAATTATTCAATTAAATTAATGCATTCATTTCGACTGTGGTGAAGGGGTATCTTAAGAAGCATTTGTCTTTCTAAAGAAAACACTCCCCCAACCATCAGCACCTCTCTTCTTAGAAACTCATTTTCTGTCTTTTTCTCCTCTAAGAGAAAAGTTTAAAAATATCTTTAAAAAAATAAAAGCATTTTACTGTTACCTTCTTTTGTGGATGAATAGCAATGTTCTCTATTCACGAGGTCGCTGCTGCAGTTACAAGTAGCGGGAGTGCGGTCAGCTCCACGCAGAGCTCGTGGGGCTGGAGCACGGGGTCATCTTCATGCTGGGAGTGGGCGCCAGCCCTTTGTGTCTCTAAGCAGCCAGCATCTCATCTGTGAGATGAGGGATTCGACCAACTTGGTGATCAAACATAGCTTTTAACACTGGAACCCCTCCTCTACCCCAGATCTCAGACTCCTCACCAGATAAGTCCCAGCTCTCCCCTCTCCCCTTTTAATATTCTTCATTTCGCTTTAATTTAGCAGATGTTTACCCTGCCCCAAGTATGTGTAGGGTGCTATGCTACGGGCTGGGGATGGGGGAGGGAGAGATAAGTGAACCCTAAGATGTGGTTCCCATTTTCACATGGCTCTGGGTATAGAAGCCCGTGTTCTGCCTCACTTCCTTGCATCCAGAGAACAGGCTGTCATGCAAACAAAAGAACTTTGCTTATGAATGCAAATAAACTTTATGGAGTGGTGGAGCTCAAGGCCTACCCCATGGAACAGTTTCATAAATCAGTGTTAGGCAAATGAAAATGATGTAGTTGAATGAATGGGGAACATGTTTGTTGTTTATCTCAGGTCAGGGGAGAAGTGGATTTACTGGCTCCAGGTAAAAAAGAAAGGGAGCCAGTCACTTTATTCCATGTATGTTATTTCTTTCCTCTAACAGTGCTCCTTTATAATTATTGTGTAGAGGGGGAAACTGAGGCTCAGAGAACTTAAGAACTTGCCCACACGGTAGCAGCAGACACCCAGCTGGGGAGAGGCTGAGCTGAGGGCATCAGCTCCATGTCATTGTGTGTCTGAGTCCTGTGTTCTTTGTGGGAGCAGTGGTCCGGAAACTGGGATCTTTTTAAAAAATACAGATCCCCAGCCAGAGTCAGAAGCCTGGAGGTGGAGTCTGGGCATCTGTTTTTAGATGAGCAAAATAGACCTCCCCGGGGCGAGTCAGATAATCGGGTTTGGATGGCACCTGCCGTAGAACTCACCTCGGAAAGGCGGGGAGGGGGAATGGAGGAGGGAGAAAGAGTGTGTGTTTGTGTGGGTGTATTAAGTCATCTGTCAAATTAGAGATTCAGATATTCTTGCAGAGCAGATGTTTCTTGATTTTTATTGTTTACATCTGCCCACCGATTTATTTAAATCAAAGACCCAGAGTGATTTAATTTCTTTTTATTCGTGTCTGTATTTGTATTCTAATTAGTGTGGGTCTGAAAGTACTGGGGAAGGTTCTCATTTCTTTTAGCTGCATGGGGTTATGGGTCAGTCTGAGTTTAGTTCGGAGGACAGTCGTGGGCTGGCGGCAGTCGGAGCCGAAGGAAGCCAGCTGGGACTGTGTCCTCAGAGAAGGGACAATGACTGTTCTGCTCTAAATCCATTTACATGCAGAAATGGGGGCTCAGGGTGGGCCAGATCTTCTGAGTTCTCAGGAGAAGCCGGGAATCTGGAATTTTATGAGAAACCTCCCAATTGTAAAAGAGTTGGCCAGAATTGTAAATTAAAAAACAATTTTGGGGGTCTGACAGAACCCAACTAAAGGGCTGACCCAGTCTCTGATGCCAGTTTCCAATAGCCAGTCTCCCTTATGAAGCTGTAGTGATGGCGGATGGTGCGACCTGACTTTTTGAATAAAAATGCAATTTTACTCTAGACCAAATGTGAGGAGTACTGGCCCTCCAAGCAGGCTCAGGACTATGGGGACATAATGGTGGCAATGACATCAGAAGTCGTTCTTCCAGAATGGACCATCAGAGACTTCACGGTGAAAAATGTAAGTAAGAGGCCAAGATGGATAGGCCTCAGATAAGAAGACCCTATAGTAGTTTGGGGTGATATTTCTAGGTTGATATTAACCAATATATATATTTTTTGTTATGCATCAGAAAAATACTTTTGCTCTCTTTTCACAGAATGAAAACTATCTGCATACACTCTAAAGCAACCCTTAGCTTTAACTTTCTTAAGAGGAAGTTCCTGTTATTTTTTTTATTTTTCCCTTTTGAAGTGTAGTTGACATAGAATATTACGTTAGTTTCAGGTGTACGACATAGTGACCCAGTAATTATATACTTTATGTGGTGCTCACTGGGGTAAGTGTAGTCCCCATCTGTCACCATACAACCTTATTACGACATTATTGATTCTATTCCCTATGCTGTCCTTTTCGTCCCTGTAACTTACATATTTTGTAAGTGAGAGTTTGTGGGTCTTAGTCCCCTTTACCCCTTTCGCCCACCCCTGACCCACTTCCCCTCTGGCAGCCACCAGCTTGTTCTTTTTTTTTTCTCAGTCGGGTGTTTTGTTTGTTTGTTTGTGTTTGTTTTTGTTACTGTATGTTATTCCAGAATGAGATGAATCTTAAGAACAAGGGTCAGCAGCAGCCACTGTTCCTTCCGCTTTCAGGTGACTTGTTTATAGAGTTTTTGTTACAAACCAAGGCCCTTTTGGTTGCAAATATGACCTCAGGAGTGGCAGTTTGCAGTTGGGAGCAGTTTATGAGAGCGGTTACATTAATAAGATTTCTGGGTGTATAGACATGGCCTCACCACCCCCTACCCACCCAGCCCCCGCCAAAAGTTAGGGAAAAAAAATCCAATTACATGGTGAAGATACTGCAGGAAGTCAGATTATGTGTCCTTTTTTCTTTTCTTTTTTTAAAAAGATTTTATTTATTTATTTGACCAAGAGATAGAGCACAAGTAGGCAGATTGGCAGGCAGAGGGAGAGGGAGAAGCAGGCTCTCCATTGAGCAGGGAGACCAACGCAGGACTCGATCCCAGGACCCTGGGATCATGACCTGAGCCAAAGGCAGCCGCTTAACTGACTGAGCCACCCAGGTGCCCCTGTGTCCTTTTTTTTTTTTTTTACAGGGTGTCTAGAAATAGAGGCAATGAAGCCACATTGATATCTTTTGGTGAGTGTGTAAATTGGTATAGCCCTTTGCGGTTTATATCAAAAGCATCAAAATGACCATTCTCCTTTGATCTGGTGGTTTAACATTTGAGAGTCTGTCTTAAAGTAATAATCTGAAATAGAGGACAAGGCTTATTATTCACAAAGAGGAATCTTGGCGTTATTTACAATGGAGGGAAGATTTGGAGCCTGTTCAAATATCTAGCTTTCAGAGAATAGATAACTAAACTATAGGTTATCTAGTCAGTGTATCATTATTTAGCTATTAGAAATGATGGCTACATAGACTGCGTAATTACCATGGAGAGATGCGAGATTGCAATTAAGTGAAACACACCGGGAGACAAACGTCTATGCATATTGTGAATAATGCACCAAAGAAAAGCCTGGGAGTAGAGTCAGTGGAGTTAACTTTTGTGGGAGGTTGGTGGGTTAGGTTCTAGTTGACAAGAATTATCCTTGAAGATTCCAAAAGTCACGGAGACAGGGTAGTATATTAAGTATTAATTCTTCACTGAGTGCTGTGTCTCAAAGGAGTTGGCTTCAATTAATATTTCAATTCCTTCCCTAGAGGTGCTGTCAAAGCTGTTATCACACGATGGAGCGCATAGTGGTTGAGAAACCCTCATAATGCACTTATTCTATAGATTTTGCCCATTTTAACCAGACCAGGTTATCCTCGGTTGCTTTCGTGCTTGGGGAGGGGAATCCCCTTGTGGGAGGGGAATCATGGGTGGCTTTGTTCACATCATTTAAACAAAATTACCACGATGTTATCATCTTTTAACTAAACTCCGGACTTCATTTGGATTTCACATTTTTCCCCTAAACCCATTTCCTGTTCCAGGATCGAATGATCCAGGAGACCACGTAGCATTTAGTAAAATACCACTTTTCCCCCTAAGACTCCTTTTTAATTACACAAAGTGCACGGATATGTTTTCCTTCTTGAAAGTGGGAACACAGCAGATAGAACTAAAAGTTTCTTTTGACTGCCACCCCTAAGCTGAGCCCCTGGCCACCCTCTGTAGAAATAATGCTAAAAAGTCTGACCTCCCCCTACACCTCCCTGTCCGCTTGTCTCTCACAGCTGCTTTCCTTCTTTGGATGAATACTTGTGGTTCAGTTTGTGACTGTCCCCTTTGTGTGTATAAGACTTCACAGTACCCTCTCCTTCACTCTGCCTTTTTTCTCTACTCTCTTCCCATATTTTGAACAATGTGAACACACTGCTTTTGTAATGTATATACATTAAAAAAAAAAAAAAGAAGCTTCCAAAGGTAGCTCTCATAAAGGAGATGGAAATGCCTAGAGTCCAGATGTAGGTATGAGGCTGAGCTCAGTGCCCAGGGCTGGGCATAATGAGCACAGTTGAATCGGGACAGGAATGGTCCAGCCTCGGTGGAATTCTGATAATAACAGGTGCCTGCCTTTGTCCGTGGTAGGAAACCAGCCTGTGTCATCACTCACTCTGTTACAACAAGATCCACTTTCTACTATCTGTCTGATGTTGAAATAGATGTGTTTTTTTGTGTGTTGGGGGCGGGGAGTTCCTTTTCTCAAACTCATGCAATTCTAAATATTTACTTAGTGCTCACTAGCTACCTGCTCCTTCATGAGACTCTCCGGAAGGCATGCAGATTGTGAGGCAGCCCGTGCCCCAAAGGTTCCGATTATCGGAGCCATATCAGTATAATTCATTTTTGGTATTTTGGTTGATGACATTCCCAGGTGGGTTCAGGGATGAGCTTCTGGAGGCTCCAAGGAGCTGTAGGTCTAAGACTGTGAGTGCATTACAGGCAGGCACCTGCTGTGGGAAAGGAAGGTCTGAACTCAGGGTCCTAGGAAGAGGCTGCCTCTGAGCTGAGTGTGGGGGAGTCGCTTCACTTTTTGGAATCTTAACGGGAGGGTGAGAACCCCTCCTTCTGGAGCTTATTGTGGGCTTTGATGAGCACATCAGAGTCTGGGCAAGCACTTTATCCATTGTTGTAGCAATGTAAAATTGCAACTTTTAGTTGTAACCACTCCTATCTAGCTGCCAGTCAGCCATCCCGTGCAGCTCGGCATCCCGGGATGGCTCCGTTTCACTAGGACTTCTCGGACACTTAACTCTTTCTTGGCTTTTAGATCCAGACAAGTGAGAGTCACCCTCTGCGACAGTTCCATTTCACCTCCTGGCCGGACCACGGCGTTCCCGACACCACGGACCTGCTCATTAACTTTCGGTACCTTGTTCGTGACTACATGAAGCAGAGACCTCCTGAGTCACCCATTCTGGTCCACTGCAGGTATGCAGATGTGCTCCGTGTGTGACAGATTTCAAGTGCCATCACACTTTAGAAAAGCAAGGCCCAAGAGGGAACGTGGTAGGCATTTGCAAATTCAAGAACGGTTTGTATAAGGGACCAGGAACTGGAACAGGGGTTGGCAAACTATATAACCTGTGGACCAGATCGGTATATTGCCTCTGTTTTTTTCCTTTTAAACTACAGTGTACTCTTATTTCTTATAAAATAGTTCAATTTTACAAAATAGTTCAATCAGCAGTCTAATAAAGTATAAAATGAGGTCATGTGTTTTTTTTTTTATTAGTAAGATCTTACAGTCATGAAGTCTCTACTTATCAGTCTCCTTCCTACACAGTTAAACATGGTCCTAACATGGATCTGAATCATTCCTTTGCATGCTTTTGTATTTTATTTGATATGTATCTGTGGGTTTTATATAGCTTTTTACTTTTACCAGATTTTATGATACAGACATCACCCTGCAACCTCCTTTCTTCTTTTAGCATTTTGGTTTGTTACTTAACAAAGTTGGAGCACATAGTTCTAGTTCATTTTATTGATTTATTAATGAATTCTTTTGGGCATACAAAACCTGTGTGTAAATTAATGTATACGGGTCCATCGCCACAATGTCTTTGGCTGCCTATTTTTGTAAATAAAGTTTTATTGGAACAGAACCATGCTCATTTATGTATTATCTATAGTTACTTTCATGCTAAAATGGCAGAAAGAGGCCATTTTGTCTGCAAAGCCAAGGATATTTATTATCTGGTCCTTTACAGAAAAAGTTTACCCTTCCACCCCTTTCCTTCTTTAGAACAATAGGACCCTAGCTTTTAAGCTAAAGAAATTAATTTAGGGCAGAAGAAGAGAGGGGCTTTGTGGCCCTACGGGGAATAAGTTGATGAAACTCGCCATCCTAGGTTATGGTGGTGACTTGAACAACACTAAGATTTAAGAAGGTCTAGCAAGATGTTTTATTTGTGGCATTTGACTCCAAATGAACTTTACGGCTGGGGTCCCAGTCCCAAGCTAATGCAGTCCCACTTGCCAGGATTTCAGTAGAGCAGATGTTTAACCATCCTTGGTGTTGATAGTGGGGGAGAGCAAGATATATGTACGAAGGGGGACATTTGAGAGTTTTATGTTCAAGTAACCCATGGTGATGTGCTCATTTCTTTTTCTCTTCAGTGCTGGCGTTGGAAGGACAGGCACATTCATTGCCATTGATCGTCTTATCTACCAGATAGAGAATGAGAACACGGTGGATGTGTATGGGATTGTGTATGACCTTCGAATGCACAGGCCCTTAATGGTGCAAACAGAGGTGAGGCCAAGCTCTGTGTTTGGCAGGCTGCCTTTCCAATCTGTTTTTAGAAGGTTGCATCATATCACATTCTTGAGTTAAGACATTTCACCCTTCTACATCTTTCTGGCTCTGGGCTGTGAGGCATTCTTTAAGATCCTTAACTGATGTGTGATTTAATGATTTGATATAGTGAGATAGTGGTAACTGATATCAGCAATGGAACTATACAAACCAAAATAATGTTAGGATTCCCTAACTTGCAGCTACTGACTCATCACATAATCTGAACTTTGGCTTCTGGGTTGTAAACTCGTAAAACTGGTATCATCACACTTTGTTTCTAAGAAGGTCTGACCATCCTTAAAATGAGCTCCTGAACGGACTCATCAGATGTTAATGATGTGAATGAAATGGATGTGGCTGCATTCATACCACTGTGTATCCTCACCCAGCCAAGGAAATATTACACAACGGCAATTATCATAGCTACGGGGGGGGGGGTGGCTGGCCAACTGAGAAGATGAATGCTTAATATCTACAATATCAGTTGGGTAAGACCGTTGGATTTGGCTTTCCCTGAGATGTTCCTGATAAACATTGTTTTCGAGTCACATTCTCAACAACCATAATGAGAAATCGCCTTCCTTGATGCTGTAGGGTTGGAACATGTCTTGACTGGGATGAGAGCAGAATGTTAATTTTGTATCAGGCTGTCACCCCGTACCGATTTAGAACTCCATGAATATGTGCTGTGTTTTTGAGTGTAGCAGGGAATATTCTGGAGGCCTGGGTACATTGTGTGCTTTGGGGTGAGTGGCACGGTTGTGGTACAAAGAGTGGAATTCACCTCTGTGTTGTCCAGAAGAGAGATTTTCTTTTTTCGCTATACTTACGTAGAGCAGGACTCAGTCTTTTATCCCCTTTTGAGACACCCAGAAATCTTACACCTACCTACAAAGTCTTTTGTTTGTTTTCTTTTATAGTTTGAAAGTAATGTAAATGTGTTTATTTAAAAAAAATTTTTATTTTATTTTTAAAAATTTTTGAGAGAGCACACTTGCATGAGCAGGTGTGGTGGTAGTGGGGGAAGGGGTAGAGAGAGATTTTTTTTTTTTTTTGCAGTGTGAGGAATGTTTATTTGTTTTGTTTTTTACTTTTTTTAAAAATTATTTTTATTAACATATAATGTATTAGTTACCCCAGGGGTACAGGTTTGTGAATCATCAGGCTTACACACTTCACAGCACTCACCATAGAACATACCCTCCCCAATGTTCATAACCCAGCCACCCTCTCCACACCTCCCTACACCCCCAGCAACCCTCAGTTTGTTTTGTGAGACTAAGAGTCTCTTATGGTTTGTTTCCTTCTCAATCTCATCTTGTTTCATTTTTTCCTTCCCTACCACCCAAACCCCACACCCTGCTTCTCAAATTTCTCATATCAGGGAGATCATATGATAATTGTCTTTCTCTGATTGACTTATTTCGCTCAGCATAATACCATCTAGTTCCATCCTAATTGTTGCAAATGGCAAGATTTCATTTCTTTTGATGGCTGCATAGTATTCCATTGTATGTATGTATGCATATATATATATATATACCACATCTTCTTTATCCATTCATCTGTTGATGGACATTTAGGTTCTTTCCATAGTTTGGCTATTGTAGACATTGCTGCTATAAACATTTGGGTGCACGTGCCCCTTCGGATCACTACATTTGTATCTTTAGGGTAAATACCCAGTAGTGCGATTGCTGGGTCACAGGGTAGCTCTATTTTCAACTTTTTGAGGAACCTCCATGCTGTTTTCCAGAGTGACTGCACCAGCTTGCATTCTCACCAACAGTGTAGGAGGGTTCCTCTTTTTTTGCATCGGTAGAGAGAAAATCTTAACCAGGCTCTGTGCCCCCAGTGTGGAGCCCCATGTGGGGCTGAGATCATGACCTGAGCCGAAATCAGATGCTTGACAGACTGAGCCCTCCAGGCACCCTGTAAACTTTTTCATCATAAAACATCTAACAGAACAGGATTATGTTTCTCTATTACTTTTTCTTCTCCAATCCCACTCCCTAGAGATAGCCAATGCTTACAGTTTGTATATATCATTACAGGTTCTTTATGTACATCTGTAGAAAAACATGTACACACACACACACACATACACAGTATCTTTTATTTTCTTCTGGCTATTGCTTTTTATAAACTGAGTACAGTTGACATACAATGTTACTTTAGTACATTTAGTACATTAGGGGTACAACATAGTGATTCAACGAGTCTATATGTAATGTTATTCCCACCGCAAGTGTAGCTTCTGTCTGTTACCATACAACGCTATTACAATATCACTGACTAGATTCTCTATGCTGTACCTTTTAGCCTCTTGGCTTATTCATCCTGTAACTGGAAGCCTGTACCTCCCACCGCCCTTCCCCCATTTTGCCCATCCCCTGTCTCCCTCCCTTCTGGCAATTAGCAGTTCTCTGTATTTGTGGGTTGGTTTCTGTTTTTCATTTGTTTGTTTCGATTTTTAGATTCTATGTTTAAGTGAAATCTAAGGATATTTGTCTTTCTCCGTCCATCTTACTTCACTTAACATAATACCTTGTAGATCTGTCCATGTTGTCACAAATGGCAAGATTTCACTCTTTTTTATGGCTGAGTAATATTTCATTGTTGATCTATACCACATCTTCTTTATCCATTCATCTATCAGTGGATGCTTAGGTTGCTTCCATATCTAGGCTACTGTGAATAATATTACAATAAACATGGGGTTGCATCTATCTTTTTCAGTTAGTGTTTTTGTCTTCTTTGGGTGAATACCGACTAGTGGAATTATTGGGTCATAATGGTATATCTATTTTTAATTTTTTTTGAGGAAACTCCATACTGTTTTTTTCACAGAGACTGTGCCAATTTACATTCCCACCAAGAGTGCAAGAGTGTTCCCTTTTCTTTGCATCCTTTTTGATTTTGTCCTTTTTTCCTGCCATTCTGACAGGTGAGAGGTGATATCTTATTGTGGTTTGGATTTGCATTTCCCTGATGATGAGTGATATTGAGCATCTTTTCATGTGTCTGTTGGCCATCTGTATATCTTCTTTGGAAAAATGTCTATTCAGGTCCTCTGCCCAATTTCTTTCTTTTTTTTTCTTCATTTTTATAGCCATTCTTTATTATTCCATAATTTAAGAAAACAACAGATAGGTTTAGCATCAAATTTGCCATTGTGCAATAAAGATTTCCAGTTGCCTGTATTTTAACTAGCAGCAAAGTTAAGGGATTCCAATCAAAGAAAGCCCATTGTTTGGGGCTCAAAAAAGAGTTATAGGAAAATATGTCCTTTTTGATCATCCGTAAGGGGAAATGCCATATGCTTAGGATAAAATGGAGGGCAGGACAGCATCAAATGTACTGTGCAATGAAGACATACAAATGGCTCTGCCCAATTTCTAATCAGATTTTTTTTTTGATGTTGAGTTGTATAGGTTCTTTACATATTTTAAATATTAACGCAGAGTATTTTAAAAAAAATTGAATCCTATTTTATATATAATACTACACTGTAATTTTTTTTTCTCTTATAGCATCATGGATCTTTCTGTCAGCATATACCTCTTCTTCCTCTTTCTTTTTAATGGCTACCTGCAGATTCTGACAAGCTTGCCTGAGGTTGTCCCCACTGAACTCTACCCTGCTTATCCCCCTTTAACATATTCCCTCTGTTGAGAATCACAATTTACTCCTTATACAGTACATGCTCGCTAACCAAGTAATTCTTGCTGGACTTTTTCTTGTTTGAATGTATATGCGCATTATTTCTTCCACATTCCTTTTTTGCTCTTCCCCAAGATTCTGGGACTCCTCCTTAGGGAGGGGAGGTGTGGGGAGTCTGTCCCTCTGGTTAAGAATGATTGATGATGAGAATCTTGCTATCTGTGGTTTCAGATTTTACCAGAATGTGGCAGCTTCTTGATAAACGTGAACTTGAAGTGTTCACTGGGTGTGTGGCGGGGTGGTTGGTGGGTTTGGGGGAGTGGTAATCTGAAAATAGCCTTGGGTGGTAATACTCTCTGGGACCTCTCCACTCATTGGCTTTCTCTTTTTACTCTTCTACAGGACCAGTATGTTTTCCTCAACCAGTGTGTTCTGGATATTATCAGATCCCAGAAGGACTCAAAAGTAGATCTCATCTACCAGAACACAACCGCAATGACAATCTATGAAAACCTTGCTCCCGTGACTGCGTTTGGAAAGACAAATGGTTATATTGCCTAATCCCAAAGTCAGACCTTTCTGGAGTTACCTGGACCGTCACACCCACAGCAAAGGAAAATGCCCCGATGTGGACATGTTTTTATATGTCTAATATCTTAATTCTTTGTTCTGTTTCATTAGAACTAATTTGAGGGTGTGAGGCTGCACAGGACAGATGAAAAGTTGGGGCTGACAGGGGCTGTGGATGGGTGGTGAGCTAATCTACTACATTTCTGATCACCAATGGGATGAGTTCACTTTTTTTTTTGTTTGTTTTTCTTAAGAATTATGGGAACACCAGGAAAAGTGAGCTATGACTTTTTTTTTCTTTTTCAAAACAGATTCTTTTTAAAAAAGACTATTTTATATGATTCACATGCTAAAGCCAGGATTGTGTTGGGTTGAATATATTTTAAGTATCAGAGGTCTATTTTTACCTACTGTATCTTGGAATCTAGCTGATGGAAAATACATAATTGTGGATGATTATCGTGTAGGGAGGGGTACATGGTGCCTCTCCTGCCTGGGTTTTCTATTTGAACATGTGCCTTTTCTGAATTATGCTTCCACAGGCAAAACTCAGTAGATATCTCTATTTTTGTATTGAATCTCATAATTGGAATATACGGAATATTTAAACAGTAGTTTAGTATCCGAGGTTCAGCCTTCTCAGTAACATTCCTGTTCTCATTTGACTAGAGGAGGCCTTCCCCTTCCCTTCACCTCCCCCCTGTTTTGTGCTCTATTCTTTCTTCCCTTTTCCTTCCCACTTTTCCCCAAAGACACTTCTGTTGGCCACATTTTCAGCCCATTGGTTGAGTGAGAGGGGAAACCAGGTATCACCTTGAGAATTTGTGGAGTGGGGTCGGGGGAGGGAAGCAAAGGAACCCTACAGTGACATGATCTCCTTTTCTTGTCCCTGTTTTATCCTTTTTCTTATTTCTGTATTTGGTAAGAAGGATTATTTAAAGGTGCAATATGTGATTTAGTGATTCATGATGCTCTAGGTTTTTAGTAATGTTTTACTCAGGTTGGCATTTTATGTGTGTCTGTGTATATGTGTGTGTGTGTGTTTTTAAAAGCGTGGCAATCTGTGAACACTTCAGTGTGAAAACAGTGTCTGACTAATCCCTCCTCCCTCAAAGTCCACTGGCTTTAGTCTATCTGCAGTGACACACATCCATATCTACTGTATATATATACTAAACTCTTAAAACAGTCATTCCTTTGAATTGAGGTGTACAAAGTTTGAATTTGTATCAAAGATGTAATTATTTTTAAAACCTCTTTTCACTATACTGCTGCTGTAATTACTTTGATTTTTAAAAAATGTAGATTAATTTTTTTTTTTTTGGCTTCAGGTGTTGTATCCACCAAGAATTTCAGAATTTACGTGGATTTATTTTATTGGTACATAATCTGTAAACTTCTCAAGGCATTAACATGAAAGGATTTGTTTCTTTTTATTTTATATTGTGGCTCAGGTTATATTTGGAAGAAGTTTTGAGTTTCTCCTCCTATAGGCAATGAAGAATTTAAGGTCTTATGAAGGAATTGCCAGGTTCCTGGAATCCTGTGGCTGTTTTCCACAGTAATAAATCCTGCTGTAAACTTAGGACAATTGTGTCCGAGTGAAAACAGGGGCGGGGTCTTCTCCGAGTGCCCTGGTCCCTGTTGACCTGGGGGAGCCCGTCTCCTGCCCCTGCCGTGTTCCTCACTCTGCTGGCACCTTGAGAGCTGACTGGACATGTTAGTGGGTCATGAAGGGTGAACCACAACTGAACGCCCTTGATTCAGTTCCGAGGTTTAGTGCTTGTACGTCTTTTGTCCCCCTTTTCCCTTTGAGGTACTGAAAGGATTAAAAGGAGAGGTGGTGAAGGTGTCGCGTTTGGGGAGAACTTCCTTCCCACAGAGAAATTGCACTTTTTGCCGAATCCTTTGCTCTCTTTTGTGGCAAGCAGTTCATTTAGCATCAGGCCCTTAAAGGAATGGGTGGTATGGGCCTGGACGGCCCTCTGGACTCTGCTTCAGGGGGGCCTTCAGCTCTTGAGGTCTGCATCAGGGAAGCCACGCCATCCCAGGCTGCTGAGTGATGTCGGGTTTGGGCAGATGGCTTTCAAACCTTTACACTGGTCTGCCCCTCAATGTACCCAGATCTTGGAGAGTTCCTTGACCCCATCGAGAGGCTCTTGCCTGGGCAGAAATTCTGTTGGCCATACCCTTCTCCGCTTCAGTTGTCAGGAATCCACCTGGATGGGTAAGTTTAAGTGTCAAGTCCCTTTAAAAGTCTAAAAATCCCTTTAAAAGGCTAAAGCAACAGTAATTGTAAACCTATTGTATAAAAAACACACAAAAACACCCAGAAATCCTTCTCCCTTCTGCCTGATATGGGTTTGGGAAACAGGCAGCTGCCCCAGCAAGCCACTCTCAGATCCTGGGAAGAAGGCTTGTGGTCTAGAGGTCTGGATTCCACGTGGCAGGTCACATGAAGGTCACGATGCTTCTTTGCATCCTGAAGAGGACTGGGTTTGGGGCCAGTGGGGGTTGTGAGGGTATTTATAGCACAGTGTTTGAAAAGGGAAGATAATTGTGTAAATATAAAGGACACGTGGGCTGGAGGTTGGCCATAGAAAACAGAAGGTGCTTTTGAGCTCCTGTGCCAAAGCCTCCCAGGAATAGCGAACTAAAATCTGAGGAATCCAGTGGAATTGAGGAGATGGTGTGATTATCCCTGCTTCAGTATTTGCCAGTTGCACACAGAAAAATAGCCAGGATGTGGTTAGTTATCAGTGAAAGATTGGTGGTCAGTTGGTTGGGGGCATTTGGGTCATTGGTACCTTCTCCCAAGAGCAAGGACATTTGCCCCCAAAGGTAAACCTAGTGACACAGGGACCATTGGAAAATGACATTTGGGGGTCTGTTCCCCGTGGGCACGTGGCGACCTCTGGCTGGACTTTGGCACATTTAACTGCACTGGATTCGGGCTTCATGGAGTCAGAGGCTCCTGGGGGATGGGGGCCAATTATGCAGCCGATCCGTGTTTGCTTTTCACCTGAGATGATGTAAAAGCCTGGTTTTCTTTTGCAGCGCTGGGGTATGCTTATTGAGCTAAATGAGTCTTGGTGACTGATGTTGATTTGCCTCAAAAGTCCAAGTTCTGAGTTTTCAGACTGTGTAGCCGTCAAGTGTTCGACATACTGTAGCTTTTCTCTCTTGGGGGCACATAGGAACAGGATGTGTTGATATGGACTCTAAAACTGTAATTTTCTTGTAACTATTTTGGAATGATGCATATTTCTAATGTTTGTTATACTTGTACAGAGTATTGCTGTTGGTTGCTTTTTTTTTTTTAAAGGAAAAAAATGGCCTGAAAATTTTTTTTAAAAAGACTCACAAATACCAAATATAAAAAATGTCAACATGTTGTGCCTTTGTTTCTTCCCCCCCCACCCCCACTTTTTTACTTTGTGTGCACACCCGTTCATTGATGAAGCCGTGTCCTAGCGAGCCTGCCACTTGAGGCATCCTTAACGATAACATTTTCTACCTAGTGTTCGTTTCTGGGCTGCCACAACAAAGTGCCCCAGACCAGGGGGCTGAAACAGCAGAGACTCACTGTCACACTAGTCTGGGGGCCTGAAGTCCAAGATCCAAGTGTTGCCAGCTGGTTTCTTCTGAGGCCTCTCTCCTTGGCTTGCAGGTGGCTACCATCTCCCTTTGTCCTCACACCATCTTTCCTCTGTGTGGGTCTGTGTCCTCACCTCTTTTTATCAGGACACCAGCCATAAAGAGTTAAGGCCCTCCAATGACTTAATGTTAACTATACTCATCTCTCCTTTTTTTTTTTTTTTTAAAATCTCATTATTTTAAATTTTTTAAATTAAATTTTATTTTACAGTACATCATTAGTTTTTGATGTAGTGTTCCATGATTCATTGTTTGCTTAGAACACCCAGTGCTCCATGCAATCCGTGCCCACCTTAGTACCCATCACCGGGCTCACTTATTTTCCCACCCCTCTCCCCTCTGAAACCCTCAGTTTGTTTCTCAGAGTCCATTGTCTCTCATGGTTCGTCTCCCTCTCCGATTTCCCCACCTTCATTAAAGACCATATCTCCAAATACATTCTGAGGTACTGGGCTTAGAAGTTTAACATATGAACTCTGGGGAGACATAATTCAGCCCAAAACACACATCCAGGGAGCCTATGTGAAGAGGAGACTTGGAAGAAGTGAGTGTGCCTCTAAGATGTGGCTGAATGTGTGCTCAGAGGGTCAGACGCGGACAGATGGACAGACACCCTACTTCTGCCACTTGGTGGCAGCACGCATGCCGTAGGCAAGTCCCCAGGAGTTTTTGAGGATGTTTTGGTGATGATCTGGGAAGTCCCAGAATTGCTGGGATACTGTAGCAATGCGGACAGTTTTTATTTCCCGGGTCTACTATGCACCAACCACTACACCTCAGCGGCCGAGGGTTCCACCATGAACAAAAGGGGCAAAAACCTTTGCCCTCATGAACTTACATTTTGAGAGGGGAAACAGAACCAATAAGGTAAGTAAATAAAATCTTTAGTGGCTTAGGTGGTCAAAATAGAAAGAAAACAGCATTTCATGCTCTGATGCACCAACTCGTAGCTTTCACACGATCATAAGCAGGTACACACCTGTGCCAAGGAGAAAGCTTTCTGCCCAGCGGTGGCCACGCATTGGCTACCTGCTGCTGGCGCGCTGCCCATGCTCTGGCCACGCGCTGGCCACAGGCTCATCACGCGCTGGTGCTTGTGGGGAGGCTAGAGCGCTCTCAGAACACCTCGGTGCTCGCTGGGCAGGCCGGCCCGCGGGACAAGCAGGAACGAAGGCAGTAGAGGTGGTCCATGAGCAGGGGGCGGGGCCCGTGTGGCGCAAACACAGAAGGAACCCAGGAGATGCCCAGGAGGTTGACAGGCACCGGTAAGAGGGGTACCAGGAGAAGGTAGGCTGGAGATTTCTGAGCCGAGTCTCCAGTGGAATTTTGGCAGGAGGAGGTGGGGGTCCTTGGGGGCGTGAAAGCACCGGCGATACCTGGAGAACGTGTGTCCGTCTGTACGGGAGGCCGGGTGAGCGCACCTGGCAGTGGTGAGGGAGCCTGGAGGGCAAGAGCTCTGGGATTGTGGTTGCCTGAGGCTGTCTCACTGCCGAGACATGTGCCAGGCGTGTGTGCGTGTGTATGCGTGTGTGTGTGCAGACGTAGACATTATATGTAAGTAACCACATGCATGGGATGGGTGACTGGCTCAGTCTGTTAAGTGTCTGTCTTCTGCTCCGGTCATGATCCTGGGGTCCTGGGATAGAGTCCCACATCCGGCTCCCTGCTCTGCGGAGCCTTTGTCTGCCCTTCCCCCTGCTTGTGCACGCTCTCTCCCTCTCTGACAAATAAAGAAGTAAAATCTTAAAAAAAAAAAAAAAAAAAGTAACCCCATTCACACACAGGCCCGTAACTTACCTTCACTATCTTCTCTGGATGGAAATGGCATGGTGGCCACATGGCGTCACATGGGCTAGAGGGAAGGGTCCCATCAGACACCTGGCAGGTTAATGGGACTGAAGTCCTGCGAATGTGAGTCAGAGGTAGAATTTACCGCACAGAAAGGGGCACAAGCAGCCCTTGCAGTGGGAGACACAGTTCCCCCATCTGACCCCCCTTCCCCCACAAGGGGTCCACAGCCGTAGTTCTCAGCCCTAGTTGGTACTGAGAGGGGTTCTTCCAGCACCTTGCCTTGCCCATGATGTGCGTTCTCTGTCTCTCCCTCACTCCCCATGCTCCTCACCTCTCCCGGCTATCTGGGGACTACTGCTACACGCTGGCCTGCTTGTCAAGTGCAACAAAACCATGGACAGTTCCAGCACATTCCTGAGCTGTTTACTGACAAACATTATGTGAATGCAGGTCAGTTTTCCAGGCATGGTACCCCTGGTGTGTCCAGGTCTGCCCGAGGCCGTGGCTGTAATTAATTTTCACAATAGGCAAAAAACACAGATCTGGAGCATATTATAATTTAATTATTCCTGGTTGAGGCTAGAAAGCATTTTGCCTTAAGAAAAGATGCTTCTGGATGGATGTACGTGGAACTAAAGAATCGTGCAGGTCCCAGTTTGGAAGCCTGAGCTTTAGTTCTTCCCCTCCCCAAACGGACTGGAAATCACAGACCTTCTGCTTTTGATGCGCATCAGGTGGCAGAAAGCTAAAGTTTGCCTGGAGTGTCAGGAGTGGAGTATCTGGGGTTTGCTGAAAACACAGCCCTGGTGCCCGAGAGAGGTGGGCGTGGGTTGATGTCTTGTCAAACCTGGGACGTTTAAAGACTCAGGCCCCTAGGAGGGCATCTTCCCAAGGGTATCTTGGCCATCACATGCCCGACTGGGAAGTTTCTGGGCCTACCCTATGTTTCAGACTTGGCCATTCAGCAAAGAGGGGGCTTGAAGATAAGTTCTGTAAGGAAAGAGGTGACATTTCAACTTTTTACCTATATGAGTGTGGTTATAATTTTGCTGCTGTGACACTCAGCACAGTGCCTGGATATATGAAATATCCAATAAGTGGTAGCTATTCATTTATCAACCTAAATTTGTATTGGTC